CTGTAAATCCACGAGTGCAGTAGGCCCAGCAATCCTGGACACCATACCCAGGTCGACGAAAATAACAAATGCCGGGTCCCTCACTTGAACTTTGCTATTTCGGGTTCCGGATGACTCAACTCGTCCTTTCAGTAGGGCCCTCCAGAAGTGGTCGTAGCATCACAATGGGTCTGAATGGTTGATCTGTCCATTGCTGCAAAGCGTTGATTTCGCCCAACTAACTGGTTCTTGTCGACGTTTCAGGTCCCTAAAACTTCGTTAGCCATCGTTGGATCCGGCTGTTACAAAAAACAGTGAAACGTCAAGTCAAGCGCTACTAAATAGGTCCTTCCAAACGGGGGACTGCTATTGGGAGGATTCTGCCTCATGTGGTTCATGTTTAATTAGTGCTTTAGTGAAGCTTAATGTGCACGCAAAAGTTGTATTCTTGTCCAAAGAACACTGCTTCAGCACCAAATTTGCCACACCACTCGCCGAACCCAACCAGGCAGCCAAACCAACCAAACAAAAACCCAACCAAAACCAATCCAAACAAACCACACTCAACCAATCCAACTCAACCGACCCAACCAAAGCAAGACCCAAACAGCCGAAACCCAGACCACCGACCAACTTAATTCGTTCCAACGCAAAGCTAACCAAACCAACACACAACCAAGACAATACGACTCAAAGCCAGCCCAGCACCAACCAACCCAAACCGAACTCAAGCCCAACACAGTGATCCAAGCCAGCCCAACATCCACATCCACCCCAACCTCCTAACCTACCCCCATTTTCATGGGGTGGGACTTGTCGCAGGCCTCGAAAGTGCCACAAAGTGCACGCAGTTCCATTGAAAGCGTTGGCACAGGGACGCACCCAGCTCCTCACCCACGGTCTTGTTGGTGCAGGTGCTGCCGACGCCCTCAACCCCGAAGTCCGGGTCAGCGCACACCGCCGGCTCCACCAACGCCGTGGTCTGATGGCACCCAACCCGACCCAACCCACGCGCACAACTGATTCATCCATCCCTTCTGCACCCTTTAAAGCGTGGTTCATGATAAAATGGCTGGAAGTGACCTCCAATTGACACCTTCAAAAGGAAGAAATCCCCGAGCTTGGTGGGGAAAAACTGCGTTTCTGGCTTGAGGGTCTGCAAGAAGCTTTTGGCCCTCCAAGGAAGGCGTCCCCTTCTAAGCCTAGGAAAGGAGCTGAGGGCTGTCTGACAGCCGGGGCCCTTCTGCCAACCTTTGTAAACAACAACTCTTTGGTGCCTTGGGGCCATGTCGGGCGGTTCTGCAAATTGGAATCTCTTGGATTTGTTCTCGTGTACGCCAAAATGGAAATCAGGTGCTTGCCTCACGGACAATATCTATGTGCTCCTAGCGTGCCAGCGCCAGACATTTCGTTTGAACAGAGTTTCCAACCATGTCCAACCTTTTCTTGGGCCTCTGTTTGAGAAATGGTGTATGGGGAAAATGCCTGTACTCCCGTACCTACTGTTGTTTTTGCGCTTGGACCTTGGCAAATGCCTTTGTTTTTGGAAGGCATGCAAGCCCAAACAACAGGAAGCCCGCTGCAAAAACCGGTCTATCTGGCTGGGATCGATAGCCACAATTCGTAGATTTCAGGACTATCCACCCAGGATACAGTTTTGGGGTACGTTCGGCCACTTACAAGCCCCGTGCTTCATCACCCTGATGCACAGTTGCATCAAGCCAGGGCTGTGGGAAATGACCAGGGCCTCCCAATACAACTCCCAAAGACTAAGTGGAAATAAACCCCTTGATCACACAACCGTGCATAAGCTAACCTGACATCCCCCAACCGAGCATTGGCCGGTTTCAATCGCACTCTGGTTCTTCTGCAACAGCTAATCTGGCACTCCGGGAGTCACCAACACGCAACGGCAAAATTCCAACACACTTGCACAAACATTGAGACACACACACACACGCACAGAGGGACATCAACACAATCGGGCTTGAATCCGTCTCTGTCGCTCGGATTCGCTCCCTTGTCCTGAGCGTTTGTTTTGCTTGGCTGGCAGTGGAAGCCAAAGGATTAATACCCTCCCCCTCCCCCGCCCAGAAAGTGAAGGATCTTTCAGTCGCGGTCGACATGGCTCCCGGAGCCTTGCTGAAGGAGCCGTCTGCCTGGCCCGCCCAAGTTTTCTGGCCACGCGCCTGAGTGAATAGCCCAAATCTCACATACTTGAATGTTCGAAAAGGCTTCAATAGAATAACATAGCTAACGTGCTTTAAAACGCAACGCGAAAATCATCCTGGCCTTTTTCTACGCCTTTCCGTTTCAAATGCAGCTGAGACCCACGGTCATGACTGCACGTCACAACTACACCTTGCATCTCCTAAGGAGGTGCCAGCGCATCAAACTGCGAAGCCCAACCTCCTCACAATGCCATCCGCAAACCTCTACCCGAGACTCAAGATCTATTTGAGAACGTGTAGGGGCGACAGTCTGAGGAGAATTAAGCAGGTGTTTCGGGCTCTCGAGACACGGAGTGGGTGACGCCATATCTTCCCTAAAACCGGTTCGAGATTCTGAAGGAAGCAGCCGTCTGCCACATGAATGCTGGAAACTGGTTGAAAGAACCTGCTCAGGTGTGACCAATGCTTCCCCCCCGGGCGCCCCAAATGAGCTCTTGTTTCTGGATGACTGCACCAAGCCTCCGCTCTTAAGCAAACATTTCTTTCATTCAGGTCCATATGTTGCGCGAAACTCAAAAGAAGCAACTCATCTCAACAAAAAGATCCCAGCAGAATCCGCCGAACCCCCCGCCCCCACCCCCACCCCCTTCGTCCCTTCCCCGTCTCCGCGCCTGGCAGGTCACAGTCGGCGGGCCAGTAAGGGTGAATCCCAGCTCCGCACCTACGTAGGACCACAACCACCGCAGGCTTTTTCGGATGGAACAAGACGTCCCCGCCGCCAAAAAAGCACGCGAAAGAAGGGAACTCAATTCCCATGACACCCCCCCCAAAACTTGATGTGTGCTGTGCTTATGGTGGATGCTTGGTGAATCAAACTCAGGATGTGCTCAAGGGGTCTCAGGATGGCGGTTGCTGCCGCCGGCCCTGCTGGGCGGATAGCTGAAGGAGCTCCGCCATGGACGGCCGCTAAACAGAGCACAAAAGGTAAAAAAAAGTCACCGGTCATGACCCGCTGCCTTCAAAATCAAGATGAAGCAACGCACAATCACCAAGCAGAGCATCAAATGTCCAGACTTTGAACCGACCTAGCTGAGAAGCGCTAATATAGCTCATGCGGAAAGTTCACACAGATGCGTCAGTTATTGATGTTATTTTAGTTTCTTTGTTCGACGTCTGCAACCAGTCAAACTGTTAGTGCTTAGCGGTGTAACAATCGGTTTTCTGGTTTCCACCAAGTTAAACAGGGTAAAGTACAAAGCAAATAGCGCCCCCACATCAGATGAATTTGCCCCTTGGCAACTGTGTTCAAGCCAAAAGGTTCCAATAAACCCTACTACGGGGGGGTTAACAAACCTTCAGATCTCGCTTCCAAAAATATATCTGAGTCTGTCCATGTTGAGTGAAGCTTAAGTAATATCAACCTCGGATTCATCTGGACCGTGCTAATCAGTTCCCTCGTAGGAATGACTGTTTAGGGTCCTCTGGAATCCGAGGTTGACGTTAAAATCGTTTGTTCCCTCTTAGGAAATGATCTATGGGGGGGTCTGATTAGGGTCCAGGTGGACATTAAAGTTGTTTCCCATCATGCCCTTACAGGACTCCAATCGGTAGCTCCCTCCAGGTAGCTCCCTCCCAGGTAGCTCCCTCGCAGGTAGCTCCCTCCAGGCTTCCTCTTTGGATACCCGCAGCTCCTTAGTTCCCTTCGAACCGCCTAGCAGGTCCAGTCCGGCTGGGCCCCGCGCTGATGGTGCATGTCTCCTCCGTCGCTTTGCCCAGGCAGTCCGAGACGCCGCCACGGAGATTGGGGAACTCGGCGAGGTGCCCTTTTGAGGGCATGAACCATGTGGGTGGCTCATCTTCTCTGAGGTTGGACCCCCCAAAAAAAAACAAATGTTCCTTTAAAACCGCTAAATGCCATTTAAGACATCCTCAAACAATCCGAGCATGGGGGCTTCTCAAAGAGTCCCCCCGTTTTAGTAAGACATCCTCATCATTGCCCGAGCTCTAATGGTGAGACAAAAGCGTTTCCACCTCCAAAACCAATCTTGAGAAGACCTCACTTCAAGCAGCCCTGGACTCATCAATCCCTGGCTGACTAGGGAAGGGCCCCTTTTAAAAGGAGTAAGACTCCTTCAATCTCGGAAAACCCCCGACGACATCCGCCCGGTTGGTTCAAAGCGTCAACATTGATGTGTGGGTGGTGCAATGGTATATAGACTGGTCCTGCTTATGAAGGCGCTACTTATGTATGAAATGTATGCTGTACTGGGGGCACCTGCCCCACAACGGAAGGCACAGCGAGAGAGAGAGAGAGAGAGAGAGAGAGAGAGCGAGAACAGGACACAGAACGCACGAGACACACCATGCAGAAGACATGATGCATGATACAGTCAACAAACACAACTAGCGCGCAAATGCATATTTATTAAACTGTTCAGTTTGCATTCTATAGCAATGCTTGAGGCGCAAAGCCAGTCGGACACATGTTGTAAATATGGGATCTGTAGAACGGGTTCTTCATGAGTGAGCTCGTTGTGTACCGAGGTGAGCTCGTTTGCCCAAATCTCTCTCAGTGCCCAAAAACGTGTCCCGCACAGGGACACTGACAGAAACACACATGAAGATCACCTTTGCGGTGCCTAAACGGCAAGTGCCTATCTGCAGTCTTCTGCAACAGAAATTCACTGCAGAAAAGTCGAAATGGGTTTGTCGTTTGTTGAGTACCCCCCTGTCCGTGGTTTCAAAGGGAAACCAAAAGTAAAACTCATGTAGGGGGTCCCCTAAAAAGGCACCCATTTGTTGAAGGGGGTTTCCCAAAGAGAAAAGTGACCCAAACCTGGCTTTGGCCGAATGCAAGGCGACCATGGTTGTGGGAAACAGCACTTGTGATACTGATGTGGGCCACTAGCACTACTTTGTCACTTGAAGGGAGTGCCCTTAGCGTAGCAAGCGACCCTAAACCCAAATCCATCACCATCAACGAAAACAAAACAATGTCCACGCTTTCTGGTGCCCTTGCTTGATGTTCCGATCGGGCCCAGTCTGAGGCCCCTACAAAGCGTCAACTGTTCGACGCTCAAAACGAAAAAGTGACATGACACCAGCTAAAGCCATCCGACAAGAGGGCCCTGCATTGATTTGTTCAAACCAAGAAATCTGACCGCGTAGCACTGCCACTGCAGCCACGCCGCCCCGTGGGTGCACGGCTTAGCGCTGCAGTTGGGACCCGTGGAATTCTCCGCCGCGATCGGAGTCTGACCTGCATCGCGCGGGGCGGGGAGCTCGCGTCTCCAGGATCGTGATTCAAGGGTGGGGGGGGGTGGGGGGCGGGTGGGCGGCGGGTGGGGGTTCATGGCTTGCCACACCCGCTTGTTTGCTTCTTTGCTTGCTGGCCGGCTAGCTCGCTGGTTTCAAATGGGGCACGGCTCCTTTTGGCACACAGGCACCTTGCAGACTCGAGAATTATGGGACCTGGCAATCCATGTCTGCAGGTGGCAAAGCCAAACCAGTCCAGCTGGAGCAAAGCCACTTTGATGCCAGCTTTCGGGATTCTTCTTTCTGGTCGACAGAGCCGCCATTTTAGGGAGTTCAATCAAGTGTTGCTGATATGTTGTATGTCTCGCCCGTTTCGTCCGATAGCTAGAAGGCCCCTGAGAAAACTGTACGAGTTCACCAATCACTTTGCTCAACTTTGCTCTGCAATGCCCTCTTTGCTTTGCTTCCGCAGAAGCTACCGGATCAACACCCCTAGTTGTTTTCTTTTGTTCGTTTTTTTTTTTTTGGGGGGGGGGGGGGCCCAGTGCAAAGGGAATCCGCCAAGTGCTCAAATCTCTAGGGGTACCTTCCCCATTCTTTTCCAGGGGAGTTTTCCTTCTAGAAAACCTCCGGAAACCCAGACAAACAACCGCTCCGTTTCTTCGCAAGAAACAACAACAAAGGAAGACTGGTTGAAAAGAAAACCCCTAAAATAAATCAATCCCTAGAAAATCACCCCCTAGAAAATCAAGCCCCTAGACTCGAAAATTATGGGGTTCACATGTGGCTGTGGCAAAAGAGTGTACCAAAATTGCGCCTGGGTAAATGAAGCCAAAGACTAAAACTTGCGCAACCTCTGTTTGCTTCAGCCCCCTGGATACAAATATGTGCAATTCGCGATAGCTTCCCTTGAACACCAACAGGGGGAAGATAAAACCAAATCCATTTCAGCACATGGAAGGCAACCAGCCCGTTGGAATTTTCGGGCCATACCCCTGTTCATCCGAATCATTCCGGTCGCCTGCCAGGAGCTCGACGAAGCCCACAGCTGCGCCGAGCGCCTCAGCGGCGAACGCGCGCTGATGCGGAGTGGCGGATGACTCGCCAGGGTGGCCCTGGCAAACCGAAGGAAGCCCACCACGTCTTGGTGGCTTCACCAATTTTGGTCGCGGGAGGTTCAAAAAAAATTGAGGGACCAGGAAAAAATCAACCAATCCGACATCTGCAGTGCAGCTTCCGGGCTCCCAGTTGGGCCCTGGGAACTTCCAGGAAACTCCTTGAAGGGGAAGCCAAAGGTCTGAGGGACCTGGAAGGAACCCTCTTGGCTTGTGCGAGAAATCTTCTTTGGGCAACTCCCGGTTTTCTGCAGGAAGGACCAAGAGGCCACGGTCCATGGGGGGGATAGCTGGTTTCCCTGAAGCTCTCCCATCTCGTTTGCCCCCTGTGGAAAAATGGAACACTGGCCGGTTACTCCTTAGGAAACGCACTGGGACCAAAAAGAATCCTGGAATCCCTTTTTCCATTCATCTAGGGGTTGATTCCCCATTCTTTTCAATCATCGTTCTTCTCAAAAACAGGCTGTTTGCCTTGTTTGCCTTGGTGTCCTGAAAGAAAGGCTCCCTGGAAAGAATGGAGAAGGTACTCCTAGAAGTGACCTCAAGCTTCTTGAAGCCTCGGAAACGAAACGATTGTAGATGTACCGGGTGCAAATCATGCCCACTGCAGGCGAAGAGAATGATGCCGTCTATGTCTCGCGAATTGCGCAACCTACTTCCCTGGGCATTGATCCACAAACTACATGGCATTGGTTCATAAGGACCAGACTGAAAATCAGTCAGGAAACCATTCAATGGTCCACATGGTCAACGTCCACCTGTCACGCTATGGTAAACTCTTCTTCGGAGCGAAGGGAAAGGCGACACATGTCACCGTCCCCAAAAAAACTGGGTCAATGTGCCACCCCATGGGGGTTCAATATTTTCTACCATCATCAATTTTAGTTAGAGATGTAAGATGTTGCCAACTAAACCTTAGCTCAGACACGGGCAACCACCTTTTGGCAACTCGCATACGCCTATTTCTCAAAGCATGGTGCCCAAAATTACACCTTCTTGAGTGGAAGCAAAGACTCAAACATGCTGTGTGCCTTAACTACCTCTTTCATTTTGAAACATACTCATGGTTGCAGGGAAGCCCTCGCTCATCCGGACCAGCGTCTGCACATCGCATGCTGCTGGCATCGCCCTCCAGCTGGTAGCCCTGCTCGCAAAAGGCGAAGCAGGCCTCAGTTTCCATCTTCTGACAGGGCGCCAACTTGGAACCGCGTGGGTGGCGTATCCCAGCATTTCAATTTCATCCAACAGGCGTAGATTGGGGACTGACCCGCTTGGGTCCTCAAGGCGTAAGGCTGTTCAACGCACGCGCCCATTGACCAACTTGACCAATTGGGAGGGTTCCTCTTCGGGAATGCTTCACGCTATCGATTCAAATATGAATCGGCCAGGTGGGTTTGAATTGCGGCTCCTGCCAACCACGACTTCCATCAACTATGCCGGCCATGCCTCAAAAAAAAAAGAAGAAAAGAGGCCAGCTTGAAACGAGTGCTGGGCTGTCCTCACCCAAAAAAACAAAAAACAACAACAACGACAAAAAAAAACATGCGCTTCACTTGCGTGGCTTCCGAGCGTGACACGGGTGCCAAGGGCAGCGCACCGTTCCGCGTTCCCGGCCTCGCTGAAGGCCAGCGCGGAACAGGAGTCCGCCACCTGAGGTTTCGGGCGTGCGCCCGGCGTCCGGGCCCTCGTTCTCTACCAGGGTGGGAACCCCCCCCCAAAAAAAAAGAAAAGGTTTAAAAACCCCACAAAAAAAGGACCTGAAAAACCAAAAAACTAAAAAAACAGATTGGTTTAAAAACCAACAAAACCCATGGGGAACCAAAAAAAAGGGGAAGCCTTCTGACCAGGGGCAATTGGAACCTAACCTGTGAACCTGTGAAGCCTTTTGACCAGGGGCAATGGGAGGATGGGTGGGCGCTTCAGATTTTTCTGTCATCATTTTTATGATATCATGGTGTTCTCGTCTGCGCGCAGCCGATGCCTTGCGCTTCATCTTCGAGGCCAAGTGCGATGACACGATCGAGCCGATTTCCGACACAAGCGACTCCCCACGGATTCCTCCACAAAATCAGACACTTACCTCCCTCCGACCTCCCCCCGGTTTCTCGGCTTCGCCTCCCGAAGTTGAGCAAGGAAGTCACCTTCCCACCAAGGGGGTTCAAAAGCATCCCTCGCCCCCAAGAGAAAAATCATGCATGCTAAGGGGTTGCTTCTCCAAACCTCAATTGGGGCCCAAATGGATCCATGGAGAAATCAGTGAAGGCTGGGGGGCCTACAAGAATGCTCCCTAGCCAAAAGTGTCAGAGCTCATCTGGCACAGCTTCTGCCCCTGCAAAGTGCAAACATGCGGAAACCAACTGAGTTGACGGTTGACCGATATGGGGAAGCCCCACAATACGCGTGTTGCCCTTTCGTTTTCCAGAACCACCCGCAAACAAAGAGAAGTGCGCCCTCGAACAAAAGACAAGCCTCACTTGACCTCTGGGCTGTCTGAGTTTTGCCTCGGGCTCGCCCAAAAAAAAAAAAACACGTCGCCCAGAACTTGACTCAAGTACCCCGACCAAGGCGCTCTGGGCCCTGCAAAGGGCGGCACAGAGGACAGGTTTGAGCACTGCCCCGGGTCCTCGGATGCGGCGAATGAGTCACTTGAGCCCAACATCTTTGGCTGCAACGAACATCGTCTTCCCACAAAATGTAAACTCCAGGAACGCGGGGGTGGGAATCCCCATTCAAACCACTATTTCGAGGGTCATTTGGAGCACGCCCTACTGGAAATGGACCCGGACAAGGTAGGCACATATATCTTTCAGAGACATCAACCACTGGGTTTTAAGCCAATCACGCCCGCCCCGCGGCCATGCAAAAAACAACTTTCGTTCGTGCTGGTCATTTTGGAGGACCAAATCCCCACAAAAGGAAATCGTAAGGCCCCCTGGTTTTACATCCTTGAAAATTATAGCAGCCCTGAACGGAGGACGCCCCCGATACATAAATTGAAATTGGGTGACCCATGGGTTCTATTGCGGCAGGTAAGTAAAGGGGATGACTGAACCAACGTCGAGGAATTGTGCCATCTTCTTCACCAAGCAGTAAAACGGACAAAGCAAAAAGAAGCGAGAAGACCCTCCCAAGCAAACTGGTGGTTGCAGGCAAAAAGACGGTCTGCGCCCTTACAAAATGTCGGTTGGACAAATATATTTCTTGAGGAGGAAACGCAGATAACACGCGAGCTTCTCAATCCATTCTCCCGGCTTACCGTCGACCACAAAAGCCCAGGCGCACAAACAGCGTCTGTGGCTGAGAACGTGCTGGTGGCACTCTGGCACGTGAGCACGGGAGAGCCTGCGCCAAGAGATTCACTGGGAACCCTATTTGGCCTGTGGATGTGTGGGTGTGGGTGTGTGCGTGTCTCCAACCCACCGAGTTTCTTAACCCCTGACTGGAGTTGCTAGGCAGTAACCTGCACGAACAACAAACAGCTGCAAGTGCAACTTCCTGGTTCTCTCTCTCTCTCTCTCTCTCCCTCTCATCAAGCAGGTCTCGCTCATCCCAAATCAGGGATGCAAAAAAGCAGCCACTACATGCCACTACCACAGGAAGCTCATTCAAAGTCAGCACCTCCTTTCTGTGTGCGGAATAATTTCACCAATGGCAACCAACATTCCCACCTAACGGGAAGTCATATTTGGGCGTCTCTTTATGTTTGGGACCCCCCCAATAATGGTTGGTTTCCTTTAAGCCTGTTGGTTTCCCTTGCAAACCATCCAAAAACGGGGATCCCCCTGTGCTCCCCCCCCCCCCAAAAAAAAAAAAAGACACCTGGATCGCCAGTTGCTGTTATTTGTTTCCATGCACTTTACCCCAAAAAACCAGCAACAGCGACTGAAAAAAACGATCGCAACTTGGCTATCTAGGAGACAACCCCCCCCCCAAAAAAAAACAAAGGCACCTCAAAAAACAAAAACAAAAAACGGAGAAAAAAAGGGGGACGAAAAAACAACATTTCTAGCAAAGGCCCAGGCCTCGCAGCTCATAGCCCGCGTCGCAGCCCAGGGTGCAGGTCTCATACGACACCCGACCGTCGCAGTCGGAGGCGTCCAGGCCGACGCTCAGAGGAATGCCTCGCGGCCGCGGGAGGATCCGACCCTCTGACTCGGAAGTGGAGAAGGTCTTGGACGACCAGCTCCCAAAAGGCCCAAAAGGCCCCTGGTCCACTTCCGAGATAGCAAGTAGGGTAGAACAAGTTGGCCAGAAGGCAAACTAGTTGGCCAGAAGGCAAGCATGTTACTTGTCTCCATGGTTCGCTTGCAGGTTGCTCTGACTAGCCTTCTCAGGGCAACTGTGGAACAGTTGGATTTGGAGGCGGTAATTCCTCTGGCCCACAGGACCCGTTCTGTGGGAATACTGCGAACTCTGCGAGGTTACTTTCCACCCATCTTCCCCACATTGGCCCAATACCCCTGATTGACCCCCTTGAGCCCTCGCTCTCACCTCATCCGCCCGTGCGGCGCCTTCACCGCATGGCAACGCTGTGCAACTGGGCGCGCTGCCCTCCAGCACCCCGTCCCAGCAGCGGTGCTGCGTGGGAAGCCCCGTGAAGCCTCGCTCGACACCGCGAGTGAATGGAAGAACTCAGCTGTCGATGAAACTCATCGATCCGGGGTGACCAAAACACGAGCATGGCGCCGTCCCGTACAGGGGAACAAAGGAACATGGTCTTCCAGGAACAATCAAAGTCAGGCTCCATGTTGGGTGGGAAGGAAAGATACCATGACACTCGTAGGATCTTGTAGGGTTCACCTTCTGAAAGACAATCCACGCGCATGTTCATGTATTTCCCAGCGACCCGTCCCCACAAAACGAACAAGCATGCACACCTCGTCCAAAAAAACCTAACCTTGCCGAGTACGCAGTTGGTCTGACTGGCTTTTCCGCACACAAGGTCCCCAAAGTTCCGCAACCATCTCAGGAAAACAAACGGATGAAACATCAACACATTTGCTTCATGTCAGAGGCAGGGACCCGATTAGGTGTACTCTCAGGTTCGCTTCAACCTAGCACTTTTCGGTTAGTAATTAGACGGTTTGTTGCCGCAGGCGATCACGAGGAGTTGCATACACACACATTGACATTGTGACATGTGTGTATATATGCATGTATAAATAGATATATATATATATATGAGGAGCGGACGAAACCCTTTACTTGGCCTTAGTACTTTTTTTAACGTCATCGTTTTTGGGGGAGACCTCATCGTTTTACAGTGTTTTCGAACTTTGGCAGATCCGGCTCCAAAATCGCAACTTTCTAGCACAAGTCTAGTACGCGAAGTACACTTCCGCAGCTCCAGCTCGAAATTCGCAACTTTGTAGTACAAGTCTAGTACGCGAAGTACACTTCCGCAGCTCCAGCCCGAAAATTGCGAAATACAATTCCGCAGCTCCAGCTCGAAAAGCGAAACTTGGCAGGCAGTACAAGTCTAATACGCGAAGTACACTTCCGCATCTCCAGCTCGAAAATCGCAACTGTGCAGTACAAGTCTAGTACGCGAAGTACACTTCCGCATCTCCAGCTCAAAAATCACAACTTTGTCGTGCAAGTCTAGTACGCGAAGTACACTTCCGCAGCTCCAGCTCGAAAATCGCAACTTCGTAGTACAAGTCTAGTACGCGAAGTACACTTCCGCATCTCCAGCTCGAAAATCGCAACTTTGTAGTACAAGTCTAGTACGCGAAGTACACTTCCGCAGCTCCAGCTCGAAAATCGCAACTTTGAAGTACAAGTCTAGTACGCGAAGACTTCCGCATCTCCAGCTCGAAAATCGTAACTTTGTAGTACAAGTCTAGTACGCGAAGTACACTTCCGCATCTCCAGCTCGAAAATCGCAACTTTGTAGTACAAGTCTAGTACGCGAAGTACACTTCCGCATCTCCAGCTCGATCATCGCAACTTTGTAGTACAAGTCTAGTACGCGAAATACACTTCCGCAGCTCCAGCTCGAAAATTGCAACTTTGTAGTACAAGTCTAATACACAAAATACACTTCCGCAGCTCCAGCTTGAAAATCGCAACTTTGTAGTACAAATCTAGTACGCGAAGTACACTTCCGCAGCTCCAGCTCGAAAATCGCAACTTTGTAGTACAAGTCCAGTACGCGAAGTTAACTTTCCGCATCTCAGAGCGATCATCGCAAACTTTGTGTACAAGTTAGTACACGAAGTACACTTCAGCTTCTTCTGCTCGAAATCGGAACTTTGTAGTACAAGTCTAGTACGCGAAGTACACTTCCGCAGCTCCAGCTCGAAAATCTCAACTTTGTAGTACAAGTCTAGTACGCGAAGTACACTTCCGCAGCTCCAGCTCGAAAATCGCAACTTTGTAGTACAAGTCTAGTACAGGAAGTACACTTCCTCAGCTCCAGCTCGAACATCGCAATTTTGTAGTACAAGTCTAGTACGCGAAGTAAGCTTCCGCAGCTCCAGCTCGAAAATCGCAACTTTGTAGTACAAGACTAGTACGCGAAGTACACTTCCGCAGCTCCAGCTCGAAAATCGCAACTTTGTAGTACAAGTCTAGTACGCGAAGTACACTTCCGCATCTCCAGCTCGATCATCGCAACTTTGTAGTACAAGTCTAGTACACGAAGTACACTTCCGCATCTGCAGCTCGAAAATCGTAACTTTGTAGTACAAGTCTAGTACGCGAAGTACACTTCCGCAGCTCCAGCTCGAAAATCGCAACTTTGTAGTACAAGTATAGTACACGAAGTACACTTCCGCATCTCCAGCTCGAAAATCGCAACTTTGTAGTACAAGTCTAGTACGCGAAGTACACTTCCGCATCTCCAGCTCGAAAATCGCAACTTTGTAGTACAAGTCTAGTACGCGAAGTACAATTCCGCAGCTCCAGCTCGAAAATCGCAACTTTGTAGTACAAGTCTAGTACGCGAAGTACACTTCCGCATCTCCAGCTCGATCATCGCAACTTTGTAGTACAAGTCTAGTACACGAAGTACACTTCCGCATCTTCAGCTCGAAAATCGCAACTTTGAAGTACAAGTCTAGTACGCGAAGTACACTTCCGCATCTCCAGCTCGAAAATCGCAACTTTGTAGTACAAGTCTAGTACGCGAAGTACACTTCCGGAATTCCAGCTCGAAAATCGAAACTTTGTAGTACAAGTCTAGTAAGCGAAGTACACTTCCACATCTCCAGCTCGAAAATCGCAACTTTGTAGTACAAGTCTAGTACGCGAAGTACACTTCCGCATCTCCAGCTCGAAATTCGCAACTTTGTAGTACAAGTCTAGTACGCGAAGTACACTTCCGCATCTTCAGATCGAAAATCGTAACTTTGTAATACAAGTCTAGTACGCGAAGTACACTTCCGCATCTTCAGCTCGAAAATCGCAACTTTGTAATACAAGTCTAGTACGCGAAGTACACTTCCGCATCTCCAGCTCGAAAATCGCAACTTTGTAGTACAAGTCTAGTACACGAAGTACACTTCCGCATCTTCAGCTCGAAAATCGTAACTTTGTAGTACAAGTCTAGTACGCGAAGTACACTTCCGCAGCTCCAGCTCGAAAATCGCAACTTTGTAGTACAAGTCTAGTACGCGAAGAACACTTCCGCAGCTCCAGCTCGAAAATCGCAACTTTGTAGTACAAGTCTAGTAAGCGAAGTACACTTCCGCATCTCCAGCTCGAAAATCGCAACTTTGTAGTGCAAGTCTAGTACGCGAAGTACACTTCCGCCTCTGCAGCTCGAAAATCGCAACTTTGTAGTACAAGTCTAGTACGCGAAGTACACTTCCGCAGCTCCAGCTCGAAATTCGCAACTTTGTAGTACAAGTCTAGTACGCGAAGAACACTTCCGCAGCTCCAGCTCGAAAATCGCAGCTTTGTAGTACAAGCCTAGGCTGTACGCGAAGTACACTTCCGCATCTCCAGCTCGAAAATCGCAACTTCTCAGTACAAGTGTCGTATTTACAGAGCCGTGTGTTCGTTAAGGGTCATCGTTTTTGGGGGAGACCTCATCGTTTTCCATGGTTTTGGGATGTGTTACTCAAAAGCGTGCCCCGTCTTGATAAAGTGGTCTACGCGTGTTTTGTCCGTGGCTCATATATTCCATGTGCGTCCATGTCTGAATCGTTTCTACGAAACCGTGCTTCACGTGTTAGCTAGCTATAAGTATGGCTCTTCGTTTGGACACTAGGCACGTTCCAAATGGCCGTGGGTTGGACGTCTACGTTCATTCTGTGCAAACCGTGCCTGGGTTGCACTCGGTGAGGCAGGACTGGCCATGGGTCGCCCCCTCGCAGGAGGAGTTGAAGGAGATATTGCCCAAGAGTTCGGCCGGCAAGGGGCAGCCTCAGGCACAGGATTCAGACATGGCCACGAGACTGATCCTTCTCAGGCCATGATTGCGCCTCAAATGTACATGAGAGGCAGAAAGGGTGACCAAAACCCCTGACTGGCGATGCTTATAGTAGACGACAGCCTTGGCACCTTCGACCCCAAACCCTCCCCTCAACAAAAGCCCCTCACCCCCCACAAAAAGAAAACGGAAATCCACACACCCATCATGCACCGCCAACTTGCGCTTTCCTTACACCCACATTCTGCTGACGTGTCTGTTGCGAAGCTTCCCTTTGGGCGTACCCGTCCTTCCGGCACTCCCTCTCGGCCTTGCGCAGTTTGTCCGAGGCCCTGGCTCTTCGGCACGCAGGTGGGCGGGCTGCCGCTGAACGCCCCCAGCAGGTCGCAGACGTAGGCGGCAGCAGCGCCCTGCGGGGCCGAGTTTCGGGGCTTTGAGCTGAAGAGCTGCCGGCTGAAGCTGGGTGGCTTTAGGAGATATCTGAACTGGCATTCGGTAAACAATCAATCCGTACATCCAGCAATCAAACAGTCAGTCAGTCAGTCAGTCAGTAAATCAATCAATCAATCAATCAATCAATCAATCAATCAATCAATCAATCAATCAATCAATCAATCAATCAATCAATCAATCAATCAAATCAATCAATCAATCAATTCAATCATTCAATCAATCAATCAATCAATCAATCAATCAATCAATCAATCATTGAATCAATCAATGAACGAACGCACGAATCGTCAATCAATCAATCAGTCGTCACGCACTCACTCAATCAATCACTCTGCTCCTCACTCAATCAATCACTCACTCACTCACTCACTCAATCAATCCAATCAACCAAATCACTCACTCTCACTCCTCACTCTCGCACTCACTAACTCACTCTGCTCACTCAATCAATCAATCAATCAATCAATCAATCAATCAATCAATCAATCAATCAATCAATCAATCAATCCAATCAACCAAATCAATCAAATCAATCAAATCAAATCAAATAAATCATCAAATCAATCAAATCAAATCAAATAAATCAAATAAAATCAATCAATCAATCCAATCCAATCCAATCCAATCCAATCAATCCAATCAATCAAATCAAATCAATCAATCAATCCCAATCAATCAATCAAATCCAATCCAATCAATCAATCAATCAATCAATCAATCAAATCAAATCAATCAATTAATCAAATCAAATCAAATAGAAAAAAATCAACCAATCAATCAATCAATCAATCAATCAATCAATCAATCAATCAATCAATCAATCAATCAATCAATCAAACCATCAATCCGTACATCCAAATCAATCAAACAGTCGATCAAACACATCCATCAATCAAGCAGTCGATATTTGCATCCATCAATCAAACAGTCAATCCGTACATCCATCAATCAAACAGTCAATCCGTACATCCATCAATCAAACAGTCAATCAAATGCATCCATCAATGATAGCAGCAGTCAATCCATGCATCCATCAAGACAAATCGAACAATTATCCGTACCCCTATGGCGAACCAAACTCTACTTTTAAGAGCTGGAAGATCGTGTTGAGAAATCCGTACATCCATCAATCAAACAGTCAATCCATACATCCATCAATCAAACAGTCAATCCGTAATATCAATCAAACAGTCAATCCAAATCCATCAATCAAACAGTCAATCTAAACCATCCATCAATAAACAGTCAATCCGTACATCCATCAATCAAACCAGTCAATCCGTACATCCATCAATCAAACAGTCAATCCGTACATCCATCAGTAAACAGTCCAATCAAATACATCCATCAATCAAACAGTCAATCCGTACATATCAATCAAACAAGTCAATCCGTACATCCATCAATCAAGCACATCAATCAATCATCCATCAATCAAACAGTCAATCCGTACTCATCAATCAAACAGTCAGTCCGTACATCCATCAATCAAACAGTCAATCCGTACATCCATCAATCAAACAGTCAATCCGTACATCATCAATCAAACAGTCGAAATCCCGTACATCCATCAATCAAACAGTCAATCCGTACATCCATCAATCAAACAGTCAATCCGTACATCCATCAATCAAACCATCAATCCGTACATCCATCAATCAAACAGTCAATCCGTACATCCATCAATCAATCAGTCAATCAATGCATCCATCAATCAAACAGTCAATCGGTACATCCATCAATCAAACAGTCGAAAAATCCGTACATCCATCAATCAAACAGTCCGTCCGTACATCCATCAATCAAACCATCAATCCGTACATCCATCAATCAAACAGTCAATCCGTACATCCATCAATCAAACGAATCAATCCGTACATCCATCAATCAAACAGTCAATCCGTACATCAATCAATCAAACCAGTCAATCCGTACATCCATCAATCAAACAGTCAATCAGCATCCATAAATCAAACCATCAATCCGTACATCCATCAATCAAACAGTCAATCCGTACATCCATCAATCAAACAGTCAATCCGTATCCATCAATCAAACAGTCAATCCGTACATCATCAATCAAACAGTCAATCAATACATCCATCAATCAAACCATCAATCGATACATCCATCAATCAAACAGTCAATCCGTACATCCATCAATCAACGTCAATCGGTACATCCATCAATCAAACAGTCAATCCGTACATCCATCAATCAAACAGTCAATCCGTACATCCATCGAAATCAAACAGTCAATCCGTACATCCATCAATCAAACAGTCAATCAAGTACATCCATCAGTAAACCATCAATCGGCATAACAATCGGCCATCAATACGTACATCCATCAAGCAAACAGTTCATATATCGTACATCCATCTAATCAAACAGTCAATCCGTACATCCATCAATCAAAACAGTCAATCTCCATCATCTATCAATCAGGAATCGTACATCCATTAATATACAGGTCAATCCGTACATCCATCAATCAAACAGTCAATCCGTACATCCATCAATCAAACAGTCAATCCGTACATCCATCAATCAAACAGTCAATCCGTACATCCATCAATCAAACAGTCAATCCGTACATCCATCAATCAAACAGTCAATCCTCACATCCATCAATCAAACAGTCAATCCGTACATCCATCAATCAAACAGTCAATCCGTACATCCATCAATCAAACAGTCAATCCGTACATCCATCAATCAAACAGTCAATCCGTACATCCATCAATCAAACCATCAATCCGTACATCCATCAATCAAACAGTCAGTCAATCCGTACATCCATCAATCAAAAAGTCAATCCGTCAATCCGTACATCCATCAATCAAACATCAATCCGTACATCCATCAATCAAACAGTCAATCCGTACATCCATCAATCAAACAGTCAATCCGTACATCCATCAATCAAACAGTCAATCCGTACATCCATCAATCAAACAGTCAATCCGTACATCCATCAATCAAACAGTCAATCCGTACATCCATCAATCAAACAGTCAATCCGTACATCCATCAATCAAACAGTCAATCCGTACATCCATCAATCAAACAGTCAATCCGTACATCCATCAATCAAACAGTCAATCCGTACATCCATCAATCAAACAGTCAATCCGTACATCCATCAATCAAACAGTCAGTCCGTACATCCATCAATCAAACAGTCAGTCAGTAAATCAATCAATCAAACAGTCAGTCAGTAAATCAATCAATCAAACAGTCAGTCAGTAAATCAATCAATCAATTCAATGAATCAATCAAATCAATCACTCACTCACTCACCCACTCACTCACTCACTCAATCAATCAATCAATCAATCAATCAGTCAATCCAATCAATCAATCAATCAATCCAATCAATCAATCAATCCAACCAATCCAATCAACCAAATCAATCAAATCAATCAAGTCAAATCAAATCAAATGAATCAATCAATCAATCCAATCAATCCAATCCAATCCAATCCAATCCAATCCAATCCAATCCAATCCAATCCAATCCAATCAATCAAATCAAATCAATCAATAAATCAAACAAATCAAATCAAATGAAATCAACTCAAATCAACCAATCCATCATTTCAATCCATCAATCAAACCAATCAATCAAATCAAATCAATCAATCAAATCAAATCAATCAAATCAAAACAATCAATCAAATCAAATCAATCCAGTGAGTCAGTCAGTCAATCAACCAACCAACCGAAAGAAACATGAACGCCTAGCAGACATGGCGCCTTGCAAGGAACCTGAGAAGACCCTAAGTCGAAACCCTTTGTGCTTCATTCGCCCAGCTTTGGCTTTGATTGCGATGTGTGGTCCTTTGGTGAGACTCACAGGGCCCCGGTGTCACATTTGAGAGGAAACTTGTAACTTGGTTTTCAAATGGGAGGCATACCCACTGTCAATCTGCCAGGTTACTCCAGGGTCAAGGTTGAGATTTGCTTGAGAAAGGATGTGGAAGAACCAGCCTGCACCACTTAGGACGGATGAAACCCCAAGACTGGCATCAGCCACAGCTGCAAGATGAGAATCCCGCCCCCTGCCTCGAAGCCGAAGCTGCAAGCCACGCTGCAGCTGCTGCCTGCGATGCATGCAGCAAAACCCCAGCATACAAATGGACAAATAAAATAGCTTGGAAGCCCAGGTAAACAACTGAAGAAAGCAGCTACAAAAACAACCATTATCCTGCAAGCGTGATGGGAGGTCGCCTAACCTGGGGCCCTGGGGCAGTCCAGCAGCCCTCGAATCCGACTTCCAAAGCTTGGGGTTTGCTAGCTGCGGACGAGTCCAGGCGATAAAATATCAAAAACCACGGGCTGGAAGTGAGGCTCAACTTTTGAGCTTTCTGTTTCGCATCGTTTGACCCAAGAGCCATCATTCAGAGGAATCTCCTTTGGGCTCCATAAGCCTTTCTCCGAGGCTTTCCTTGGCTGGAACCTCTGGCAACTCATCTTCAGGGCGTCTGACTGAAATGCTCCCATTCCTTGCCGTCAGACATGTTTGAGCCACTTCTGTTTAGACACCAGCCTGGTGCCCCTTTCATGGGACAAGGGATTGGCTGTTTCAACCTGGTTTGTACAAACAGCAACTGGGGAGTTCCCTGACCATTTAGATAATCATACTGCATAAAGGGTTGAGCATAGGTGGCCTTTTGGAGAAATAGATGGCCCTGGTAAATGGAATAATCCCCGTCTAAACCAGTGGAACCCATCTATTTTGAACCAAACTAACCTGAAAAGGACACCTATGGGGTTGAGCCTGAACCCACATCCGCCCCAACCCTCTCAAAACCTTCCCAAAGTCGGCCCAGGCGCCAGCGAAGAGACCCAAGCAGTCGCTGATGCTCACGCCAGGGATCACTGGAAGATTGCCTGCCAGGTGCCCTCAACCGGTGCCCCTCTCATAAGGGTGTGCCCTTGAAAGGGTGGATGCATGAACAGTTGCCCCTCTCATAAGGGGTGCACTTGAAAGGGTGGATTCCCTTTACCCATGACCACATGACCTCTGATGTTTGAAAGAGGTAGCTATTGGCCAAACACCGCCCAAGATGAAGGGCACCCTTGTGACTAACTGATAGCATCTAAGGGCGCAAGAGCGTGGGATGTACCCTGATGTTGACCCCTAATGTGTGGCCCTGATGTGGACCTATTTGATGCAATTCATATAGGCCATACATGTGAGGCGCACCTACCCCAAGACGTAGGACATGGGGTAGGCCCTGAGATGGTTTGGAACCTACCTGGGAGGGCGTGTGTGATTTTTGTCTTTTTCAGGCGAACCATTGTGAGCCCCGAATGGGGTGGTTTTGCAACAAGCGATTGGCCCACAGGAAATTAGGAATCCCGAAGCTTGGTTGGCTCTCGAGCTGGCATAAAAGAGTCCTCCACCCTTGAAGGCACCGCCCGCTTTCATTGCAAGCCCAAAGGGAAGGCTCCTTTCCGAAGTTCACCGGTTCCCCATTTGACCAGCGCAAAAGAACAATCACTAGAAATTGCTTGGCCAAGTGAAGGCAAATTGACTTTTAGTGCGGTCACGTTTGGGATATGAAGCGAAGCAGGCAGTTGATTGATGAATCATTCCCAAATACACGCGGCTGAGGCGCAGAAAGTGATTCCTATGGAAAATGGTTGGTACCTTGTGTGAACCGCAGATTTGCTTGTCTAATGAGTGACAACCATCCCAGAAGGAGCCATGTGTGGTCCAGCAGCAGGTGGGTGTCTTTGGTTTGAGGGTACCCTGCGTTTTTGCAGTTGTTGAAAGGAAAATCACAATTGTTCTCGGGGGGTTGGGACCCCAAAAGAGACACACCCAGGTCCCCTTGCATAGGGGACACATCTTTGCCACCGCCCCAGCCAGGCTCGTACAGGGTTCCTCACGTATTGGCACAAATTATATGTGGGGAACTGTGTCCACCAAACGCTCCGTGGATTTATCAGAACCAGCTATCAGGCTTGATGTTAACGAAACGATCTTCTCAACAAATTAAAGTCAAGAATCCAAAACATGAGGAAGCGACACCATTTTCCAGGGTGTTCCAACCATGAAGCTGGCCGAGGCTCAGATCCCAGTTGCAAATGCAACTGCTGCGCTGGTTGGAATGAAAATTAAGGAGCACCAACAAGGGCCGCAAGCTTCAAAACAACAAACGCCAAGTCCAAAAACCAAGGCCACAGTGCTACACCTGCACTTTCGACTTTGCACCAAGCCTGGCAATTCACATTCTTGCGGTCGCCCCAACCAACCCCAACCAACACCCCCCCCCCGCCAATCGAGGCGATCCAGCCCCGTCCAGCCCGTGGCCTCCGGCGCAAGGCAACGCCTCACAGACGGGCGCGGTGCCCGTGAAGAGCTGTGAGGGAAGGCATTCGAAGAACTCTTCCTGCGGAGCGTCCAGGCGTCCCATGTGTTGGCGGTCTCTTTGGGGGTTACTGGAATTCCTTCCCCTTAAATTGGTGAATTCATGTCAATTCACTGCTTCCAAAACGATCGACGCTTTTGGAGGCGGAACAATTTTGTGGCAATCCTGTTTCGACGAAAGCCATAGGACGAAACCTCGCTTGACCCGAGCCAAATGGTGGGTTGAAGAGAAGCAACCAAAAACAAAGTGGGAAACCTGCAAAATGTGGACTGTAATGGACCGGGTTCTAAGCTGACATGACACTTTCTGCTTGCCCCTTTACTCACCTCCTACATTATAAGAAAAGTTGGGTACCAAAGTGATCGGCACAAAAAGTTCGACTTCCCTCCCTATATTTCCCCCTTACACATCCGCCCCCAAGAGGAAAATCGGCCGCAACTGGTCCAACAAATGATGTTTTAAGTGGCTTTAAAGAGAAATATCGGGACGCCTGACGCCTGTACTAGGTTGCGCGCTCTTCCACATCTGGGCGAAGTAAACAGCCTGAAGTAAGGAATCCCCAAGGAAAAACGCTTCATCACAGGTGAGCTCCGAATACCCCGCCGAGGTGTGTGCGTTGTAGTTTACGCGGGCTGAACTATGATAGTTCATCAGTCTGAAACAAGGGAACACAAAGAAATCGACCTACATAACTACGCCCCCGTGCGGACACGCCGCAACCCTGCACTGCCTGGGGCATAATTCCAACCAGCCAAAGAAATGACAGGAACGGACATTGGAGCCCCTTACTCCCTGGACAGGCTCTAAGAAAGCGAAGTGCCTCACTCATCTGCATTCATCCGGTTACATCTTCGGCGCCTTTTCGGCTGGCGCCAAACGAGCCTCCCGCTTTGAAAGCAACCTCCCAAAAAACCATGTAAAGAACCAAAACTGCCAGTATACCCTCAAGTGGTCGCCCCTCCTGGCCCGTGTAGCCAGGCAGGCAGGATACGACGCCTTGGACCAGCCCCCGCAGCGACCATGCGCGCATGTTTCTATGGCCGGAACCCCCTTCTCCAATGCCTAGGCCTCATGAAGCCCTAGCCGCTGTTGGACCCCGTCCATGCCGGAAACCTGTGACCAGCAAACCTGGTTGCGTGAAAAAGGCGCGATTTTTTTGTTGGCCCTGATCTATTCAAGGCTGTGGCGCCCGTGAGCTTCCAAGACATCAATTGCGACATTGCCGAGCGGAATCTGCGGGCCAAGGCGCAGAATTCACCTACAGTCCTGCCAACCTTAGTGCGCTCTCGGGCAATCGGTGAATCAGTGAAGCTGGCAGATGCGTCTACTCGCTGGGCCCATTCGATATGAATCAAGCTGGCAGACGTATCTAACTGGCCCTACATTCGACACATGCCTGGGATATGGTTGACCGCGCAATCTCAAGCTTCACATTCCAAGCCGCGCAATCGCTGGAACTCACGTTGCTTGGCAGCTGGCTGACCTCGCATCTGGCTCCACGCTCGGGCACCCCTTGTTGCTCTTTAGGGCGAAATGCAGGCTTCCGTTTGCTTAAGTCCCCCGGGAGAAAACAAACAATATGTCCAGAAGTGATGGATTGACTCTGAAACCCACCTAGCAAATAACAAAGAATCTTAAGCAAGGGAAACCTAAGTATCTTTACTGCACAACAGAAGCCTGTGCCAGGGCAACATTGCGTGCGTTGGAGTATTGTTGCGTGTGCTGCCGAATGTAAGGATGAAGTTTGCTTCGTTCACCAAGTGTTGCTTGCTCATGCCGGGATATTGCTCAACCAACTCAGCAAAACTGAAGGACAATCCCTCAGAAGCCAAAGGCCAACACTGGCAATGCAGATCAAGCCAACGGCCAACACTGGCAATGAAAAACAAGCACCACGCGAAATTCGAAAACCAATGTTAGAGAGCCTCTACCCAATGGGGAGCTTAGAAGATCTGAGGAAAGAGCAACAGTAACGACGATCTGATCGCGGAGTCTGTCTGATACTGCGTGTTGTTTGCATATTGTGACGGTTGCTGTGAGTTGTTCAGGCTGCGTTGTTTGGTCTTGAGGGTTGGGCTGCTCTCCAACTACATGGGTTTAGCATGTACCTGGTAATTGTTTAGTATATGCCCAGCTTGTGCCTAGCACGCACCTGTTATGTCTTGCATGAGTGAAAGAAATTATACCCATGCACCCTTCTTGCAGCACATAATCAGCATCATTCTAGAAACAAATGCTGGCATTTGTCCTTCAGGGCTCCTGCGTATTTCCAGCATAGGTTGCCTGCTGTTCCGGCGTATCTACGGCTAGTACGTTTAGGCGGCGAGCCAAAGTTTGCTGAAAAAGCATCTGCCCAGCAGGTCACTAACATGCGCCTACTCCACGTACTTCTGGCATGGGTTCAATACACGTCCAGCTGTGCCTGGCAAGCCTCGAATACGTCACATCCCAATGCCAACAATGCAGGTTTACCAAACACGATAAATGCACTCCCAAGTCCTCTGTACATCCAATTCAAAGCTCTCTCCAACCAACCAACTGGCGGCCAAACCCAGGGTGCACCCAAAAAGTTAAAACTTCAGATTCTGTTTCATTTTTGGCCAACCTTTAAATGCCAGCCATGTCCTTAACAGACAGCAGAAAAATCGCAGCCAGTCAGTCAAGTCAACCAAACGGCCGAAATGACGCCCTGCGCCTGGCACTCGGGCTTCTTGCACAGCAAGGGGTCGCCCACTGGCACCATCGCTGCCTGCGCTGGGTCACCTCAGTCGAAGAGATGGAAAATGTCTCCAAATTTGGGGAACCTAAGCACCCCCCCTCCCCCAGGCATGGCTCTCAAAAACCTTCATACATGCGGTTCTTGGAAGAAATCGGAAAATGTTTGTCAGGGGGTCGGGGCGCGACAATTGGCCTCTCCTTACAAATAGGGGCATCACTATCTTTTCCTTTTGGCTTCCCTTCAAAAGCACCCCAAAGAAGGGATCCAACAAAGACACACACTCGTGAACATGTGGAAGTGCACAACTCTCCTTGGCGAGCTACGCAGCACTTCCATGTTCGTTCCGCAACGCCTACATTGCTCCTTTTTTATAGCGCGGCCTTCGCGGAATCGCAAGGAACTGGCTTAATAGCCCCGCACCTCCCGCAACAGTTGCCCAATTATCCTGGTGAGCGATGGCTCCAAGGCAAGCTGTGCAGAAGCCGCTCGCTCGGGGCTTTTTTGGAGCCCTGGTGGCGTTCTTCCTTGCACCGGATGAGCTTGGTTCATCGAGTGAGCTTGGTGCAAGTGGCGTGGACCAATGCCAAGAATACATTTTGAAATAGAACCAAACAACTCGTCAAAGGAAAGGAACTAGCAAGACATCTGGGAGCCATGGCAGTTGTCTAGGTTCAAAACGGGATTTGGTTGCAATCCACATCAGAATTTCCACCATCCTTATTTAGAAACCACCCAAGGGAATGAAACTATTCCATAACCCAATTGCTTGCGGATCGTGCGGGTTATAAACTTGAGCAGCGCAGCGAGTTCATTGTGTCCATAGATTGGGGGGGGGACCCTACAAACCGTTCATGTTCCTTTTTGGCTCCACCATTCTTGCACACCCTACCAACCAAGAGAACAACTGAGTTGCGTTCAGAAGCCGATTCATGCTGAGTCCTTCTAGTGGGTTGAGTAGTGGGGCACCACTACGACAAGGGAAACCGCTACTATCGCACAATAATGAATGAAAGCTAGGTTTGAACAACCCAGTCCTACTTTCCACCTGCAGGTTGCCCCGAATAAGGTTAGTGTCCTTTTTGTCTGGTGGCAAAGGTCGTAAGAGACAATTGCCACATGTCTCTTTGAGGAGCCTTGTTGAATCTCACGGATTCATAGGGGGATTCCTCCAGAAGTGATCCGGATTCTTTCCAACATGGGCTGTAACCCCGGAACAAAATGACAAAATCACCGTTCACCACTTCGCCCAAATGATGACCCTCGCTCGCTTTGATGAGCCAAAGCTGGCGATGAAAGCCCTTGAATTCAATGCCCCTGAAATGGCAACGGTCTCAAAAGCCCGCTGGGTTGGGGAGAATTTGGGAACGGCTCCAGGTGAATCAGCAAAAACCACCCTCACCTTCATAAGTCGTTTCTCAACTTCTAGGCGAGGAATTATTTTTGGAATCGGGGCTTTGACACCTCCAAGCAGGGAGCCTTCGTGGGTCAACTGAGCTTGGCTCATCCCATCAAAGGGGGTCCTCTAAACTTGGTGTTGAATAGAGGCTCTGGCAAAAATTAGTTGGTATCCATCCCCAGCTTCTGGTTTGTAGCAAAAACAACTCAACTAACGCACACAGGTTGACTTCCCGCTGACGCTTCTTCCGCTACGCAACACTTCCGGACGCACCTCCGCCCACTCTGGGCGCGTCCCCGTCCGCGTGTCTTCGCCGAGGGGCAAACGTACTCCACGGGGCCGCCCTCATAGGGTTGGATGCAGCTGGCATTGCAGCTCTGCCCATTGTACCTGCGGATCCGTGCAGCAGCAACAAAATAAACATGGATCCAGCATGTCTGTTCATGTGGAAAAATGCTCCCCTTTCTGCAAGACCAAAGTGGTCGATTCCCATGCCCATAACTATTTTGTTCTCGAACAAGCCAAAGTGTGAGCTGGCTCAGATCGGCGTTCACCAGCCAGATAGATCCAGACGGACAAGTCGCAAAACGAAGGGCGAACTGAGGCTGTAGGCCCAATAGTTCCAATTTATTTGATGTGAGCAGACGCGTGACTTAAAGAAATGGGAGTCTGTTTCTAGGTCAAAAGCTTGGCTTTGGGCAACTGAGATTGCCAACCAACAGGTCTCAGAAGTTCGACCCCGTCCAGCCCCATGGCTCCGGGGTCAGACCTTCAGCCAGAAACCCCCGTGCTTGGATTGGGCTTTGGGGAGAGGGCGGGAGTCTTCCCCCAAAAAGTGATCCCGGTCCTCCTGGATGACATGTCAACCATGAACCAAATGACCACTGGAAAGAACCGAAACTGAGGTATGACCCATGCCCCCGCTTTGGTGCTTTCTATGTACCTGTAGTACGCATGGCCTGGCAAACATCCCAGAGAGCCAAATTCATTACAAATAGATTTGGGTCGTGTTCAAAATGAGTTGCAACAACAGGCGGACCGAGGGGTGGAAGGGACTAATATTTGTGCCCTGTTGAACTCTTAAGAGGTTTGCGCCAACAACCGTCCAAACACATAGAAATTCATACCTGAATATATATATAAATGTATATACATATATATATATATATAGAAATATACATGTTTGTGTACATACATCTGTGTTTCTCTAGATGCTTAGATTGCACATAGAGAGATATATATATATATATATATATATATATCTGTATAAGTATGCATCCAATTTATTGTGTGCATGATCGATATTTCGGAAACATCCATCCTTCCCATCCTCTGTCGCCTGTCCGCACAGCCGCTGGCATCCACACCAAGGCCCGTAGGGATTCCACCACCACAAAGCACCAGCTCAGTGACGGTGGTAGTGGCCGTGGTCTCAGGAAGTTCGCATAGCAGGCAATGGACACTCACATGGAAGCTTCGGGACCCCAATGCAAGACGTGGTTCCATTTGCAGGGGCCTTCTGGCAGTTTCCATGTTAGTCTGAATAAGTGTAGCCTTCAATGCACTGATACGGCGCAGGTTTGGAAGGGAAACCGCAGGCCGGGGCGGCCAAGTTTGCTGCAAGGCGCAACCCCAAACTCATGGAATCCTCGGCTACGGAACAGCAATTCCTGGACAAGCTCAAGAACGGCATGATAAGCTAATTGGCAAACAGTTGAAGGGTTTCGATAAGATATTCTTAAGGGTTTTACTAGCATAGCCGCCCTCCTATAGCCCTGTTGGGCTTACAACAATGATTACACAAATCCGACCATGTTCAAAAAAGCCGGTACGGCCGACGCAACCAGATGTGATCCTGCCAGCGCAGAGCCAATTACAAAGGCCACTTCTAGCTCCCCACAATGCCCTCAGTATCCCGGCCAAACTGTTCCACCCTCAAAACCGTGTTCTTGAAGACTCGCCCATTTCCTGGTCTGCTCCTCGTTTCTCACGGTCAGATCACCCACCTCCCCGTTTTTGTGGCCCAATTCTCCCTGCTTTTGTTTGGGCCGCGCGGCCGAGCTGGTGGTGATCTGGCACACCGGCGCTTGGCCAGTGAAGACTTCCCCTGGCTGCCATGCGGCGCTCGGCCCACGTTGTTTTTCTCGGGGCACCGAGGCCATTTCCATTCTTTCCGGGGAATACACCTAGAAATTCCATTGTACCCCGGAAACCTCCAGATATGTTTTTTTTGTTTCCCGAAATTCCACTGTACCCCTACCTGTCCGAGGTACCTTCCCTCCATTTTCTTTTCAGAAAACCTCCAGAAACCCGGAGAAAAAAAGGAAAAAAAACATGTTCTTGAACAGGCCGATGTTTGAAAAGAATGGGGGATCAATCCCTGCAGTAATGGTTCCGTAAGAGGGAGAGCTGCTGTTGGATGGCAGGGTCTCCCAAAATAGTCATCACCTTCCAGGGTTCCCGACCTCGCCGGTCACGGTTGCGGAACGGCATTCTCAAACACACCCGCATGATTCGCAAGTTGTCCTCAAAAATTGGCAGCAAATTTGATTCTTCGGCTGGCACATGTTTTCCGAACCTTAGATGGGCTGTCAAATTGTTTTTCTGATGGGATTTGTTTCAATCCCCTGTGGAAAATTGCAGGCTCCCATGTCGCTCCCAAATGCACTGGACAATTTATCATCGAACCATATCGAACCTCATGGTGTGCTTTGCTTGGCTCGTGCAGCCAAAAAGGTTCACATCACTCACGAACGGTCCCCCATTTAAGACACAAAACTGTGGCAAAAAGGGATTATGACAGCGCGCAAAGTAATGAGTGTAAGATGTACTAATCAGTTTGAACAAATAGCCGCTCTGCATGACTGGGTTTGTTCCCCGTCTGGCATATATATATATATATCTATTGAATTGTTTGTTGCGCGTCTAGCTCATGTGTCCCTGCCCAAATTCTGCCCCTGTCCAGTGGTGGGCAATGAGGGTAGCAGTGCTGTTTGCCTTCATGGCTGCTCCTCGTTGCCTGCGTAAGGCCAACCTCAACGGCCTTTGCGTTCGTCGGTTCGTCAGTGATCTTTCAGGCGGTTCGCTCTGAGCCCTGCAGGTTTCATTCCGGCCCGATTCCCATTGCCATGACTCACCCGATGCTCCGGAAATACCCGGGCGTCACAAAAGGGGGTTTTACTTGAAGCATTCTCCCCAGAGGAATTGGAGAAAACTGCGGAGGTGTCACATTTCAACCGGACAGCTGGGTTACAAATTCAGCTCACTTCTACCGGGACTTGAGCTGCACTTCGAGCCGCGGCCGACGGAAGTTGCTTCGATGGGGCTTTTCTGGTGGGGTTGTTCCTAGGCCTTGGAGCGATGTTCCAGGTGAGGTTCCGGAGGGTTCCGGGACTCGATCCAAGGGTTCTGGAATCTTGGGGTTCCATAGCGGGTTCTTGCGCGGATGCTAAGGACTCCAATGGGTTTCAGATTCCGCAAAAAAAACCGTCCGGTTGGGGATGCCCCATGTTTCCTTGTTTTTGTTTTTTTTTGGCCAAGCCTTGACAAGTGACACGATCCGACTTTGGCGGCCTGTGGTGCAGGAGTATGTGCTCGGAGCGCCAACGTAGCCCGGCGAGCAGAAGGCTTGGCAGGTCTCGCCGGGGAACTTCCCCAGGCAGTCCTCTCTCAAAAGGTTGGCCAATTTGAGCGTGATCCCCATGAACAAATAATACTAAACCAAATTCAGGCCAACTTTAGCTTGATCCCCTCAAACCAGATGAAGTTGAACCCCACCTCTCTCTCTCTCTCTCTCCCTCTCTCCCTCTGCCGTTGCGTCCAAAGGGTCTTGACTCAGCAAGTCAACCCACAAAATGCCCCCCGAGTCACACTTGGGCCCCGCTGCCTTGGGATTGAAGGGCATTGAAGGGAACGTTGCCCATGTTTGCTTTCGACCCCCCCCCCCCACGTGGGGCTCACCGTTTGAGAAGAACAAGTTGGCCCCCGCTTAAAAGGGGTTTCCAACCATTTCGCCTTTTGATCAACTTGAGGAAATGCTACACTGGAGCCTCTGAGCCTGCTCCTTCGTTTAAGCAAACACCGCACAATAACACCACCCTTAAGCAAATGGGTGCCTTTTTCGGAGGGTACCAATTTTTGGGTTCCGCATAGATATGTTGAAGCAACCCAAATGGCTGTTTCTTTTGGGAGGGCCTCACAAAGGTGGCTCTCCGTTTGGTTTTAAACGCAAAACCTGCATATGTTTAAGTTTCCAGGGGGAAAAACCTATTTCCAATAGTGATAGATTCCTTTTCAAACCAAGGGAAACCAAAAAACATATTAACTTCAGCACATGGAGGAACATGGCTGACCATCGCTTTTTCGGGGACCCGCCCCCCCCCCCCCCTGGAAAAAAGAGTGGTTCTCCGTTTTGGCTTTGTCAAGGGAAAGCCGCAAAGCAAGCTGTAGCGTTAACTAGGTCCTCCAGCAGAGAGCTTAGAATAAGGGTACCCTTTCTTCTGCAGTCTATTTTAGTAGGGAACCCCCCCCCAAAAAAAAAAAAGAGGGGGAGAGAAGGGCACTACAGGGGGACCTAGTCAACCAAAACCCACGGACCAACGGACCCCACCACAGGCCGGAGGCCCGAGGCGCCGTGACGTCGATGGCGCTGTCCAGGATCGGCAGCGGGCAGCTGCCGGCCAGGACCTGAGGCAAGGCATCAGGACCTGGGGTGGGGGGTGGGAGGGGGGGGTGAAGGCAAACAAACCCAGATATGTATACACATCTATATATATATATATATATATGTAGATATATATATATATGTGTGTACAGATCTTTTCTATACTACCAAAAAAGCTGCAGCACATCCCATGTTGCAGCTCCAAATTCAGCGCTTGTCTTCACATCCCGGAACGCCGTTTCGCCAGGCGGCCGTGTACGTTCCTGAAGTTGTGGTTTGCGACGTCGAGGTGGTCGTCTGCCTGGGGGCGTGCTTGTGCTTAACATGAGCATCATGGTGCCAAGGGAACTCCGGGCTGTGGTGCGAAAAACATGGGACCCCCGAGAATTCGGTAGTAAATTCCCCAATTCCATTCTAATTAAACACCTCCCCGATTCCCAGATCGGAGGTTCCTTTTGGCTTTCTTCGCCGTCACACTGACCCCGTCGGGGAGAAAAAAACAGCTAACAGCCACACTGGTCCCATTCAGCCTGCGGCAGTTTGTCTCGTCCAAATACCGCAAGACATCCATTGCCAAAGTTCAACTGCGGCCCTGTCTGGAGACACAAACGGGAAATCCTTCTGGGCGCCAAGTGCCTATGGGTCGTATTGTTTGAAACACTCTGCAATCTAAGTGCAAACGACCTACAGTACCGGTTTGGGAACCATACCAAAGAATTTGACTTGTGAAGTTCCAAATGAAAAAAGCAAAATTTCGTAGAAGATCCCCATCTCCCGCCCCCTTTCCTAGGCCCACAGGCTCTCTGTGCATCAAGGCGGCGTTGCGCTGGTCAAGGAAGATGTTCGGGATGACCTAAAGGATGAGGGTACCCTTTGGGGGCGACCTTCAAGCAGAAGCCCCCCCCCAAAAAAAAAGGGACGCACCCAAAGTGATGCGGCCCGTGAGAACGCGAGCTTGATTCCTCCATGTCATGCCGCTCCCACTCCAAACTTCAACGTTGGGTTGTTTTTGTTGGCACCCCTGAGCCCAGAAGCCCTTGCCAGCGGACAAGCAAAAGAAACAAGAGCCTTGGCCAGCAGGCAGAGAGGAACCCAGCTGCAACTAGAGGGGAGAAGGTCTTCTCGGGTTGGCCATGTGCGGCTGGGAACGCAACAAAACAAAATGGGATTTAGAGGCTGCCTCAGTGCCGAGAAATGGGGGGGGGAACCCACCGGGGCTTACCTTTTCATCGGCCGCATCGGCACATGTGAAGCGAGCGCCCCTCAGGCTGCAAGATGCTGGCCGAAGGCGCCACGGCGAAGGCCTTTTGTGTGCTGAAACATCATGTTGCCCCCTGATTCTAAGGGTGTGTGTATTACACCTGCACCCACTGGGTATTGACCCCATTTGGGCAATTTCCGGATAAAGCCCGTGTTATTTTCAACCATTATGGGTCATCTCTCAAGGGTGAATCCCAGGGTCTTTTGCAAAACCCTCAGACTGATCGATGAGATCACAGCTCAGGTCATCGAGGCCCCGGGCGTGGTGAGCGTAGTGCTGACACTCGAAGTGCTGGTGATTGTCAGGCTGCTACTGGTCACGCTGGTACTCGTCAGGCTGGTGCTGGTTGTGATCGATGAACTGCCGGGAGATCCATTTGCCCCCGGGGTTTCTGACATGTGCGGCGGCGCGGCATACGTTGAAACTCCTCTGGGTGCCTGTGTTTCCGGACGCCTCCGGGCCAACCAGGAATGGATCCAGAAATCCACAAACGGAATCGCCCCCTTTGGAAAGTGGCAAAAATGGCTTACCTTGAGTACCACCCCCCCGCCGTCAAGTCAAGCTTGGGCTTCCGCGTGGCCCTCCCATCCGAACCGAAGTCGAGCTGTGGGGGGGGGGGGGCCAAGGGCTGAGCTCCTTGAGCCCGGACGACCCTCCCAGCTGAAAGCAAAGCTGGGCCTGGTGCTCGAAATGCTCGTGGACCTCGATGAGCTGGAGGTGGAGGTGCTGGTTGCAGTGCCGGTGCCGGTAGTGGTGCTGGTGGCTGTGCCAGTGGTGGTGCTGGTGTCGGTGGCGCTGGTGGCGGTGACGCTTGTGGTGCCAGTGGCAGAGGTGGAGGTGGTACTGCTGGTGGTGCTGTAGCTCGGGGCTAGCCAGCTTGGTGTGTACCTGCCACACAGAAATCTGAGCACTTGACACTGCACTCCCCGAATCCGAAGGCAGGCTGAGAGTTACGTTCCGAACCACCCCCAAAAGGAACCAAATCGCCTGAAGGGGGGGGGATGCTCTTTGATCAATTGGGTTCCATTTCTTCTTTGGTAAGCAAGCCCGCCGGTCAAACTCCATCCCGAGGAATAAGCAACAGAAACTGTTGAACAACAAGTTCCGATCTTTCTACCCTCAATGCCCACGCGATGGCTTGCAGGACATCATGCTTCCACATCAGCTGACGCTTTATTCGCAGGATCAAAAGATCTCCATGACAAGCCTCTTTCCACAAAACTGACTAACGCTTGGCGCGGCCCAGGATGGCATCATGCAAGTTCACAGATCCCATGTTTCAAAAGCTGTTCACCACGAACCTGCTGCAATGTCTCTGCCGCCCTTAGGAAAAACATCAATGGGCTCCACCTTGGACAACAGATGGGCCCATGGCCCTGTGAGCGAACCCTGCTTGTGAACCCTCTAAAGCCGCAAAACTGGACCTCAAGCTTTTGGAACGCCATCAGGAACCTATCTCCTCTCAGTCTGGCAGTGTTCCACGTACCGAGAAGTTGCCAAAACATGTACCTACCATCCCGGGCTCAAAAACTCCGATGGCAGACTTCTTATGTCCTGAAAATTTGGCCCCGCAAGGCCCCACGTGAATGCGCTGGTTGGGCTCAAAATCCTTCCAGCCATTTTTGTTGCCGTTCGCGGTTCAACTATAAATGTCGAACACCCCTAAAGCAAAAACGGAGCCCTTCCTCCAAGCCAACATAGGCGCGAAATTTCCCGTTCGTCCAACCAGATCCCTGTTGAAAACATCCCCTGGCGGGGGCGAATGATTCCGTTCAAATCCGAGAATCCTGGACAAAGAGGCAAAAGCAACAGGGTATGCGTGAAAATTACACCATCAGGGGACCGCAGGTTTTAGTCCTTGGTTCCCTTTACGAGGGTTCCAGTTTGGGTGCCAATTTTTGGCCCACATCGAGCGGCTTGCACAACGTGGCCCCTTAAGCACCGAAAAAGGATGGAGGTCTTTACTAGGCTGAAATTAGGACCCCAGCAAACAAGTATCTGTGTTGCCAATTCTGGGAAGTTTGGTCCTCTTGGCAGCCCCGGACCCCCCGGCCCCTTTGGATCTTGGCCTTGGCGTGTCGATGCACCGCCCGGACTCGAAGATGGGGCGAAAGGTGCAGTTCCCCGCTTCCTGGCGATGTTTTTTTCTACGAGCTAGCTTCCCTCACTTCCCGAGGGGCAAATAAAGGTGCAAGACATAGGTGGCCTTTTAGGGGAAATAGGTGGCCCTAGATGATTGAACCACCAGGTACACCAGTCAACCAAAAAGGACACCTATGGTCCAAGAACTTAGGGAGTGAGTTCCCCCTTCTGCAACCAGGAGTCCTGCTTTGCAGAAAAAAAAACCATTCGGAAGGCAAAGACTTGGAGCCGGCTCTTGTTGTGGTTGACCATATTGGAACCCAAGAAGCAAACAGGGCGAAACTCAACTGAGGAAAACAACGCCCAAAAGTCCAGAATTTGGAAACGCATAATTTCATAATGAAACGAACCCCTATGCGGTTGGTTTCAACGGAAAAGGGAAAGCATGTCGTGTTTTTGGTTGGTCCTTTTTCCCAAGCCCCTGCCTTGTTGGGACCTGTGAAAACAAGCCGGAATCACAATGGCCACGGATCTGTTGAGGCAAAAATAGGGGCAGCCCTGGCCAATCGTTGAACCGGGCCCGACCTCTCAGGTTGACATTCGCGGGTGAACTCTTCAGCAATGTCCAAAAAAGAATCCCCACACCGTACCACAATTTGGGGTTTCCGACCGATAACTTTGGGAACAAATCCGAACGTCAGCTGGCGAAACCTGGGTGCGACCAGGTCTGCCGGTTGCAACAGGCCAACTAGACAGTTTCATGGCCAAAGAGCCAAACAGCGCTTTTTGTTGCAACAGCTGCGCCAGAAACTGGAAAAACGATGTCCCCTGGCCATGCAGAGTCATCTCTGCCACTGTGCCCAACCAAAACGGATATGATTTCTGATTATGCCCAACATACCTAGTGGCCTTAACGCGTGAAAATGAAATGGCGGGGAACCTTCTGCGAGTTCAATTGAAAAAGCTGTTGTTTCCAGTGGCTTCTTTGTGGCTCCTTGTGGCTTCCCTGTGAGCAGCTCAGAAAAGGATAGCCTCACAAGGACTGTCACAAACTGAGCCGGCACGAATCCCTGCTTCCCACACTGGAGAAAGAGGGCATCCTATTCTTGGCCGGTGGACTTTTGAGGGGAAGCTCACCACAAAAGGTGGAAAAGCAGCACCCTTGAGGTCTGGGTCCCAGTTGCCCAGTGACCCTGACTCACTAACGGCTGTCAAAAATAGGTGCCCAAAATGGAACCCTGGCAAATGGGCACACGGACTACCTGCGGCCTTCTGGCGGCTTAATTTCGACTACCCAAATAGAGAAGCGAACCCACTTGGCCCAGCCCCCAGTCCGCCTCGCAAAGGCTCCCGTCGAGGACCAGGGAGCACTGGGAGATGTTGCCTGGAGACGTCGTCCAGCCCACTAAGATGGAACCCACCAGAGGCTCGAAAGTGCCTTCCAGCTCCACTCAGTCAGGCTCCATGTTGGTGGATGGGAGGGTACCCTCTTACCAACAAACAGCGAAGTGCACAGGCCATTTTGCATGAAGCCTCCGTTTGTTTTGCAAAGGGCCCTGTGCACGGCCATGTTGAGGGGAGCCTTTCTTTTTTACAGGATTCGGTTCAGGATTCGCTGCCACATTGCTCAACCTCGCGGATGCTTGGAGGGAGTTCTAGGTGCCCTCCAGCAGCCAAAAATCGGTTCATCCGGGTGAAGAACCCGCACCCTGCCAATGCGTCTGGCTGAGCAGCTCAGCATCTGGTCGTACTGCTGCTGGGTGTAGACCTGGGGCGGATGGATGTTGCCCAATTTTTCTGGCGCCCCTGGCACTAAGAGCCATATTTTTTGGAGGGGTGGCCAGTGTAAGAGGGAAACACACCAAACAGAAACGGGGAACACAAAAAAGAAAAAAAGAGGTGCCACTTAGGGCACACCATAGAGGCTTGCTGAACGTACGCAAGTATCCATCTGGTCAAGTGACAATTACTTTGTCCCGATGCGGAAAGAAGGAAACCTCTGACCAGAACCTTCATGGGTGAGCTCGCTTTACCACTAGGTGAGTTCAAAATTTGTGTTGATCCATCCCTTCGGGGAAATCAGCGATCAATCCTGCAGCCAGCCAAGTTGGGGCAAGGTTAAATCCAGATTGAATAAGCTTGTCAAAATACAGGGCCCTTGCGGGTCAAGGGCAGGTTGACCTGATTCAGGCCCCTCTTCCCGTTTAGACTTCCAGGACGCACACCTCAAATCGCCCAAAACAACTCCACTCCACCCCCGCAAAACGAAAGACAAACATCAACCCAACGAAACACCCCCTTCAACAAAGTCTAAATAACAGCAAGCAAAAGCAAAAAATAAAAACAAGCAAACAAGCAAACACACAAACAAACAAACAAACAAGCCAAGCCAAGCCAAGCAAAGCCAACGCCCCAAAATGGGCCATGCTCGGTGCCCCACTTTTAGCTCCCCGAATTCGGGCATCCCCGAACCTCGCTCCCCGCTCCTTCCGAACCCATGGCCGAAAACTCTCGCCGGAGGCGCCGCGCAGACGCGCGCATCCACCGGGGTGGGCTTCCAGAGCTTGGAGAAGGCGCGGAAGCCCACCTTCTCCTTGTCCTGCAAGTTGGTGACCCCCCGCGGCAGAAGCGCATGCATGCGGCAGAAGGGCGCTCGCTTCACGGGTTCAAGAGAGAGAGCGCCGAAGGTGATTGGAAAAAATGCGGGCGGTCGTTTGGGGGGGTACCTGTGTTGGGGGCTCTTCAAAGGGGAGACAAGTTGAAACCAAAGGAGAAACACATTCCCGTTTCGTCACTGAATTGGTCTCCCCACAAAATGGGCAAAGGCTCCCTCGCTAAGATCCGAATGAGGAGTGCAAAAGGAACAAAGACCCTTGGACCTGCCAGCCACTAGCAGCACCTCGTGGAAACTCGAAAAATCATCAACCAGCACCAATCGGGTATCCCTTCATTCCTGGTTTGGATTTGTGGTACTGAGAACCCCCTTCTTAACCACCAAACCAGCGGGCTCCAAACCACCGATTGGAGGGAACTACACCGCATCTTCGGCGCAAGTCGAAGGATCGACATGCGGGTCCTTGGGCACGTACTGGAGCTGCTGGCCCACCTGAAGCGGAAAGTCTGATCCCCCGCAAAAAGTGACTAACCTTTAGTGGGTTAAATGGAAACTACCACCGGGATCCTTACATTATTCACCTGAAACATTGCCTTGTGGATGGCGGTTTCCCCTTATTTTGGTGGAAGAAGCCGTGTTTCAACTGGTTGCACAAAGTATCTTTTTAGGAGCCCCGTACCACTAAACACTAAAAAGCTGAAAGGCTGAGGAACCGGATGGCTGGGAGGCACTGGGCCAGCTGAGGCAAGTGCAATACTGGTTTCTGCACAGGGCGTGTGTTTCTTAGAGGGTATACTCCCACTTGGGGGTTGGCTTCAAGAGAAACCAGAAGGACAGCTATATCATTTTTGGGGCTTCCCCCTACCAAAAGACACATACCCACATCTAGCCAAAGGCACTTCTGAAACGAAACACCCGGCAGATTTGCCCCCCCCCCCCCACTAAGCTCGGTGCAGAGATCTGCCAGGCGAAGTAGTCGTCCGCGGTGGGTCCGAACTGGACCCCGCAGTCCTGGCGAAAGCTTGTATCGGTGGCCCTGGCGCCCCTTCACTGATACCCAAGCTGGATCCCTGTGGTAGTGGATCCTCAAATCGTGATCCTGTTTGTGGCATATATTCGGATCCAAGGATCCTTCTGCTACATGCCCTGTTTGTGGTATATTTCTGTTGAACTTCATGGGGCGCCCTGCCTTCCGAGGGCGACCTGCTGAGGGTCAAAGCGGACCATGTTTGAAATGATCCCTTGTGACCATGTTGTCACCTTCAAGGGCGTTCCCGTGCCAAGGGCAACCGAGAAGGCTCCGGGAGGTTCGTAGCTCTGGGGGATGGACGGGCTTAGCTTGGCTCTTCCTGGGCGTCTGGATAACCTTCCCCCCATCAGAACGTCAAGGGCCAAACGCCTCCATAACGAGGCCAACATGTTGAGAGGCTGTACAGGCCACCAAAATAGGCCGACCCTCCGGCCGCCTAAGGGTGTCACCCCTCGAAGCTGGATGAATTGACCCTATTGAAGATGTTTCAAGGCCGGAACCGGTCCTCTGCTGAAGGGTCCCCCCATTGACATAAGGGTGTGTCTGATAAGGACTCCTGTTGCTTTCCCTTTTCCAACAGGTGAGCAAGGGCACAGGAAACCTCGGTTTCCAAAGCGAACGAAGTCCGAAAGTGGCAAGAGTGCAGGGTGCCAATTTTGCTTCGTAGGGAAATGGCTGAAGTAACCTGACCGGATGCATCTGATGACAGTTGAGGAGTCAAACACCTCATGGGAAGCTGTGTGAAAGCCCGTGTAGTGGGATTTTGGCTTTGAAATGGGCACCCCTGTTTATGAATATCTGGGGCTTCCGCACCTTGTTGTGCAAGCCGTGGGCTTGCGCCAGTGAAAGGTTACACACTCATGCGGTGCATAAGCCGATCCTGGTCCCATCTGAAGGATCCCCCAACTTAACGTTACATGCGTCCGACCAGGTCCTACCAGGTTGTTCTGTAGTTTAAGCATTTGTTGCAAGGTTCCTACTTTCAAGGTTCACTCGATGGCCTGGGTTAAACCAACACTTGCCCAGCTTAAGGGTCTGCAAGAGTCTCAAAAAATATGAGTCCCGCTTGGCTAGGGAAATCCGCCGCCCCTCTGCCTCCCGTCCTAGCCTCCTGCAGAGGGGACCGGCGTGGGATGCAACTGGAATGAAGTGATGGGAATCCATGATGACTTTTGTGTACCGGGAAAACACACCCTCCCAGGACCGGTCCCTGGACTCATCCTTGGAACAGTCCCAGGACCAGCCAGCTCCGACTGCGGCTTCGAACAGCAACGTCTGACAGGCTCAGGTCAAGGGCCAGTTTCGGGATGAGGCGCACACCGTCCCAAACCGCGATTAACGGACGGAGCTCCCAAGTGTGTGACTTTTCCGGGAGGACAGCAATTAACGGACGGGCTCCCATGTTTCTGACTTTTCCGTTAATGCCGCCCGAGATCCGCCCGTGTCGGCTCCAGCGATTTGACGGCACGGTCCCAGGACCGGTCCAACAGGTCAAGGGCCAGTTTCGGGAGGAGGACCTTTGGGAGGGGTGCAACTTGATGTGAGTCAGGCGCAAGCCAATAACGGACTCCCGAGTGTGTGACTTTTCTGTTGATGCCGCCTAACAGCAATGAGGCCCAGTTTCGGAAGGGACCAGTCCCGGGACCAGCCCCAGGACCGGTCCCAGCCGCTGTGCTTGAGCTCGTGGCTGCAGACAGCCCTGTCCCACAGCCTGACTGCGGCAGCAGACGGGAGGCCGCTAGGCAATGAGCCTGCTAGCTTTAGCTATAGGGGCTGCACCCTGGCGCCGCCGCCCCTCGTCACTTGGTCGTGATGCGTTGCCTACATCCGGCACCTCTGCATCACCAGCTCGGGCTTGCGGTTTTGCTTGCCTGTGGGAAACCCTTGCAAAACATCGCGTATATGCAGCGTCTTGGGCCATGTGGCTGACATCATCAGGGTCCACGGTTGGGCCTGGGTGATGCTTCAGCGGGGCTTGGGCTGCATCATCAAGACTTCCTTCCAAAAAGCCTCCTCAACCCATGAAGCACTGTTTTTTGAAGAAGGTGTCGGAGGGGTATAAGCGAGGCTTATTTTTGCGCATTTTGGCGCCAAGCGCTGCCGGGCATGCCGGCGATGCTGGGTCCTCGCTCTACACAACGCTGTAAATACCGTCAAAAACTGCTGTGCGGAGCGGTGGGCCGTTGTTCTGTCCGTTTTGCTTTTGCTGTGGCTGGCTCGCGCGCTGTGCGGTCCTTGCTTTCTTCCCGTTGGTTTTCGGGCCAACCAGCCATATCATAGCGCGGGATACGTTTCTCATACAAAAAACATGGCATGAAATTGCATAACTTCAAAGAGGCGTAGCCGGCTAGAGGGCGCAGGCCCAGAAAATAAAACTTGCGGGCTGTTTCGCACCTAGTGTTTGTCTTTCAGCCCACCCGATCGCGCCTCGTAGTCCGGAAGGCTTGTGGTGGCAAGCTCCTTGGCTGCCATCACGTGCGTGCGTGCGCGGAGGAGCCCGATTCAGATATGTTCAGTTGCAACCGGCGACCCGAAGAAGGAGAGGAGCCATGTCCTTTTTGGGGTTAACCAAACAATCCTCGGCTGCTTCCTGCTCCCCTGCTAAAAGTGTAACTTTTGGTGGTTTAATCGAAAACCCATTAGCTAGCAAAAAGTTAAAGTCCTAACATCCAAGCAAAATGCACCAAAGAATCTGCGTGGGAAACTCAAACTAAAAGGGCCAGCAAAGAGAAATGCCACTGTGGAATGGGCGTGCCGCTCCACAAAGATGTCGATGCCCTGGTGCAGTCAATTATAGCTGTCTAAACGGGTGTGTGTGTGTGTATGGTTGCTTGCTTGCTTGCTTGCTTGCTTGCTTGCTTGCTTGACTGACTGACCGACGGACTGACTGACCGACTGATTGACTGATTGATTGATTGATTGATTGAGTGATTGATTGATTGATTGATTGATTGATTGGTTGGTTGGTTGGTTGGTTGGTTGGTTGGTGGGTTGGCTGGTTGGTTGGTTGGTTGGTTGGTTAGTTGGTTGATTGATTAGTTGTTTGTCTGTTTGTTTGTTTTTGTTTGCTTGTGAAGGTGGTTGTTTGTGTTTGTGTGTTCTATGATGGGGACCCTGTTTGAACAGCTTACAAGGGAATCCAACAGGAGACCAAACTTTTGGGGCGTTCCCCGAGTCCGACGCATAACCAAATCGAGAGGTGGATGTCCCCAACCCGAAGGAAACAAGTGTTTCGATCGTCGCACCCGAGCGTAAGTGCCCACCCAGGGGAGGGAAATTTAAAAGCGGGGTGAGCGTCATCAGGTCGAACGCACCGTTCATTCGGGGTGCAGCAAGCGGGTTGTTTGGCTGATTTGTGGTTCGCAGCCCTAAAACTGGCCTGCCAAAGGAGAGTGACAAGAGGGCATCCTGAAGATGAACACCGTCTGCCGAAAGCGTTCGATATTTCCGATTTGGATCCACCCACCGAGCATAGCCCGGCTCAAGGGACCCCTTCTTGACGAGCGAGGGCCTGAGAAATGAGATCCCGAAACGAGGATCTAAGCGCCACACGTTGGCCCAGTGACTCATCTTGATGGGCAGAAATCGTTCAGGTGCCGCTTGGTGGTTCAGGGTGGTTTTGGATTTACCCTCAGTAAGACCCAGAGGCTCAAACTCGCAAAACCACAAATGCAAACCACTACACACTGCGACATACTGGTTACCTGAATCATTGGGACAACCAGGAAGTCGGAAGTGCGGAGAATAGGCGCCCCCCAACGAGAGAGCAAAACCATCACGAGCCGTGCCTATGGCAGCTGACAAGAGGGCAAACAAAACCCCCAGCTGCCAGGAACCAACAACAGGCCTGCCCTGAGCAACTGAGACGCTGCCTCGAGCCTCAATGGCCTTTGAAAGCAACTCTTGGGAAGAAGAGGCTGAATGGGTCCGAATTGTTTCTGTCCAATCCAAGCATCCCAAGCGGAGCAAAACTGCTGGGCGAGATCCGTGATGAACACGGTTTCAAAGAGGTCCTCAGGCGCCGAGCGAGGCTGGCAAAAACGGATTTCACATAAGTCAGAGCAAACAATCAATCCATTCGACATATAGATTTCTATCAAAACCGGGGCAACCCCAAAATGGCGGTTGTTGTTGTGGTTTCCATTTAAAACTGTTCCGAAAAAGGTGATCTCAAAAATAGACACACCCACATGTCCATGTAGTAAACCTTTCCACCACCCCCTTCAGCCAAGCTGCGTGGTGGTAGTTCAAGCTGACCCCAAAAAGAGTCTCAGCTTGCTGTAGGGATAAGTGGCACCTCAGCTCGCTCGCTGCGCAGCGCAGCGAAACCCGAACTGCAGAAGAGAAGGCCATGGACGTGGATACAAAGGAACGCCTGTTGCGGACTCTTGGCTCCACAAACCGAAAAAGCAAGGGATTGAAAGGTCGGCCTTGGCTGCACATGAATTGCTGGGCTTGCAAAGTGCATGAGACGAGCACAAATGGCTCAAAGGCGAATCCTCTCAAGAGGTCCCAAAGTGACTGAAGTCAAAGATGGTTAGATTCCTGCTAGGCAAATGTCTCGAACGCAGAAACCAAAGGGACTCTGGGCAAGCTCTCTCACCTCTCAGGGGCAGAGCTGTTGCCTTGCCAGCCGCACGCTGAAGACTGGGCCAGACTAGACCCCTGCAGAAGTTAAATTTGTTGTTGAAGACAAAAGAAGGAAACGCAAAATAAAATAAAATTGAATAGGCTGGCAATCAAGATAAGCGCAATCCCTCCTTCGGTTTGGAAACACTGAAAAACAAAAGTTTCAAAGGTAAGCTAAGTCTGCAGTGAAGCTAAGCGGCAATTTTTGCAGGCCTGGCCCTGGAAACAAAACACAAGCCAGCGCCTTTCCGATGCGTAAGGGCGCTGGAGCAAAAACTCTGGCTGCGAAAGTGCCCTTGTGCTTGGATCTGTGGTGCTGAAGACGGTTGGCGGCTACGGTTGACTCAGCTGATTCCTAAACACTACAAAGCAGGCAAAGAAGACCACTGATGCGGGGGCCTGCGGGCGGGGGAAACCCTGCAACCTACCGCGGCGCCGAAGCCCACAATGATTGGATGCGGTGTCGCCGGATTGAAGTAGCCACCCGAGGCAAGCAAGCACTGCAGGAAAGCAACTGGGGCAATGCCCATGAGCAAGAAATCAACCAACTCGCCTTGAGAAACCTCCAGGGGAATGCCTAGGGCCCAGTAAAACCTCCGTCTTCGTCATGGATAAGTCAGCGCCTCGTCCAACACGGAACCCACCAACGGGCCCCTTGTGGAGGAATATGGTTTTCCAGGACCCAGAGATAGCCAGTTAGTGTATGCGAGTGTATTATCTCCTGGTAACTAGCAACCGACCCGCACGCCCAACATCCGCTTCAATTCTAAGCGGCTCGTTCCGCGAAACGCAGTCGTTGGAACTCGCGTGGATGTAGGGGAGCACAGGGGAGCCTCTAACACTAGCACCCTCCCGTGTGTTGCGACGGAACCTGACTGGAGGCCCCTGCAAATCGATGAGGGAGGGTGCACGGATGCCGCGCTTTTTGCGGAGAAATTGTCCCAGCATCACTTGAGGGGGGGGGAGGCCTCACTAGCGAGCTAAAAATCTGGGATCGACATTAATAGGGTCAGGTGATTTACCCACCTTTGGCTGATGCCCATGACATCATGGCTGACGCAAACCCCCAAAACATGCTCAGCAGGGTTACCCTAAACTTCAAAGGAAATTACCCTAATTACCCCACCCCGAAAAGGGAATGATGAAACGTGGGTGCCACCACAATTTGCTTTTGGCCCATAAATTCCGGCAACCTCAGCATAATGGCGTTGGTGTCTAGTCAAAATTGTGTATTACTTCACTGTTAGTCGGCTCAATTCAGCTCACCTAATCCAAACTCTGCCCCATCCGGCTCGTTGTCAAAGAGCTTCGCGTCAAACAAGGTCTGGCACCCATGTGTGCAGCCAGCGGGTGGGCTCATGCCGGTGTGAGTGGCAGCGGGCAGAGACTTGTAGGGGTCCTCCACGTCCAGAAAGTAGAACTCTGGCATTCTTGGAACCCCTACACCGATATTCAACTATTTGGGGGGCTTCTATTTTCCCGCTGCTACTTCAAATGCAAAACCTGACTAGCAAAGGGGCCCCTGTCGACCCTTCACACGTCGCTTGCCTGCGCTGTGCAAGATATAAACCGGGCTAGCCAGGAAGTGAAACTCGTCGGTGTAGACCTCACGTCGCTTTTGAGTCACTGCCAGTGTAGTGGACTGAAGGCCGAAAAACTCGCCGCAACCGGTTGAAGCAGTAAGGGTTTCAAAGGGTTCCACCTGCACCAAAGAAAAACAAAGACATCTTTGAACGCCTCCATTCTTGGAGAAGGCAAGACGTGTTTGGGCCCAAACGCTACTAGAAGCAAAGCCCCCGTCGCTGGTGTGGAACCCCAACAAGGGGTCCCCAAAGTGCAAAGTTGACAACACTTCCAAACCTGAAGTGAGGAATCCCCAAGTAGAGATCACGGTGAGCTCGTTTACCCGTTGAGCTCGCCGCAGCGTAGGCAGATCTGTGAACGTGTGTGTGTGTGAGATGCATGCAGGTGTGTATTTTTTGAGGGTGACCCCATTTTGTGTTCTAAGGTCGAAAACCCGAAACATCTGGGCCCAGCCACTGGGCCCAGGGTGAGATGCCAAGTCTCAAGGACAAGAATCCAACAACGAGCCACCCCAGAAAAACAGCTCTTCACAGCCACGGGGCGGGGGCTCACGACTCCGGATCAGTGGCCCACAGCCCCATTCAATTACCTCTTGGGCCCCGGGCGAAAAACTCAGTGGAAACCTGCGCTGCCATTTCGCAGAACGCCTGAGACTTTTGCGGATTACAGGCAGGCCCATGGACCGACCACGCGAAAAGGTGCTGAAGTGGACCCTTCTGCCACTACTCCCCTGCACGCTGACTTGGAACCCAGAAACCCTTGTTGGTAGAGGAGTCAGGGCACCCCTTTTGTGCATTTGCGAGGGGCAATGTGGCACATAGGGGGTCCGAGAGCAAATTGACGAAGTCCGAAGCGGACACCGGAAGTATATAGATCCTTTTGGCGCATCTACAACCTTTCCCATGAGGGTCCTGCAAAACCCTTTTCCTCCAACAGACTCTCTCCATGTTGCTGGGAGGAGGTCACTTCTGGATTTGCTTGACGCCAACAAATCCAAACCAGCAGAGCGTCGAAAGCCGCAGTCTGCGGCTAGCCAGCTGATTCAGCACAAAAAAGGCAGCACTCGGCAGAATTGTGGGATGCTTGAGATGGCGTCTCTCTCGCTCCCTCTCTCTCTATCCCGCTCTCTCTCTCTCTCTCTCTCTCTCTTTTTAAAACGGCCTCCCGGTGACAAACTCTTCGAGATGGGGGTAACGGGTTCCGAACATGTGAGAGCTCCCAACCAATCTGGCCCCCACAACCTTGAGCAGTGCAGGTTGCCTTTCCGTGCTTCCGGTTGAAACATGTTTAAGTGAGCAAAGGGACCCATACGGATGTTACGTTAGAGCCCAGGAATTTTAACCGTGCATGAGAAGCCCCGTGAAGTCGCTCTCATTCGCTACAGTAATGCTCTTCCAATCACTTGCCAAAGCCAAGTAGGCTTGCCCACCTCCACTGCTCAAATGGAGGGTTGACCGATTCGATGTTCCATTCCCCTGTCAAGAAGCTACTGCCAAGAACAAACATTTTCTCTGGACCCGGCCATTTCCGCTTGAAACCAACATCGGAACATACAAAGGTCAGGTTGCACTTCTCAGGGGTCCAGTACCCGAAGGGAAAACACGTGCTTGATGCAACATTTGGCTGCTTACCCTCACACATAAGGGTGTTGAAAGATCATCCCAAGACCCCAAGGCGTCCACTTCCATGAATTTTAAAGGCGGCCCACTGCCCTATGATTGAATCTCCTGCCTGCTTGTTTCAACCAATTGCCCCCCATTTCAACGTCCCCTTCCTTGGCCGATTCTGTTTCATGTGCAATCCGCCTTTACAAAAAGGGAGATGATCCCAGTCATAAAACTACAGTGTACAAAGATCATGGGTATCATTGTACCTTTATATCTAGGTAATACGGTGGACGGACAAACCCAGGTATTGGTTGGCAGGTGGCTTGGGCACCAGTAGTCATCCAAAACTGTGCCTGGCGTGGATTTCGTCCATCCACCGTATGTTCTGAATGAGCATCCAACATGAGCTCCACCCATGGGCCTATTCACTTGCCTGTGACGAAAGGAAACGGTAGCAAGATGTAAGAACAACACTTGCTGGTGCGATAGGTAGGGGATGACCCAGGGTTTGGGAATGAACCAGAAGGGGATTCCCTTTAAGGAAGCGCTCATTCCAACTCATTCTCTGCTGAGAACCAGCATGAAGAACTCGCTGTATCCTCCGCCCGCCGAAGAGACGAGGCTGATTCTTCGGCCAGGTGGCTAGGTGAATGGGACCGGAACCCTCGGCTCGTGTGAGATGGAACCGCCCAAACTCGGTGGGATCTGTTGAGCTCTCATTTAAAGCAAGCCCAACCCTTAAAGCACATCCTCCAAAGTCACATATGTATATAAATACATGTATATATATATACATAGATCTATGTTGGTAGGTATGTTTATATAGGTAAACAGAAAAGAAATATGCAGATGCAAGTATAGTATGTCTGTATATACATGGGCATCTATATACACGCACATGGTTGCACATGTTTGTGAATGGTTGTCAATTATGAGTCTTGCCAACATTAGAGTAAGGGTTTGCATGACAAAGGAACCTATGAGGTCGCTATTTGGTCGAAGCAAATTGAAGCGAGGGCTCGGTTTTCTTTCAACGAAAAGGCGTACCCACCCACCCACCCACCCGCCCCCAAAAAGATATGCCGATTTTCAGACCCATGTTCAGGCAGGCTGGGGCCAAGTACCTGGTTGAACATGCTTGAACAACTGTTGTTCAGAACGGTGTGACTGGAAACTCCTTTGGAGGAACGGTAGACTTTGTTCAACCCACAAAGGCGTGCATGCATTCACATTCACACGTTCATAGAGAGAGCGAGATGCGTGGGTGTTCATTTGTGCGCATTTGCCCGGTGAACTAATGGATGTGTGTTGCCATCCGTTGATTGAGTAACATGTTATGCAACTATGCATAGGCAACTACATTATCTGGGCTTAACTGTGCATAGATAGCGTGCATATACATATGTGAATATATACATATGTATATGTAATGATGTCTGATCTAAGTAGCTGCGCCCGTATACATAACAAATGTATGCATGTGTGTGCGTGCGTGCGTGCGTGCGTGCGTGCGTGCGTGCGTGCGTGCGTGCGTGCGTGCGTGTGTGTGTGTGTGTGTGTGTGCGTGCGTATATGAATGCATGTATGCATGCATGCAGCATGCATGCATGTATGTATGTGCGTGTATGTATGTATGTATGTATGTGTATGTATGTATGTATGTATGTATGTATGTATGTATGTATGTATGTATGTATGTATGTTTTATGTATGTTTTTATATATGTATGTGTGTGCATGTGTGTGTATATGTGCGTATGTGTGTATGTGTGTATGTGTGTATGTGTATGTGCGTATGTGTGTATATGACGGTTGTCTGACATTCCTTGTTCCGGAAACCGCCATCTTCGCGAGAAAAAAAATAACTTTCGCGGACCCCATCGCGGAACTTTCGCGGGGCTGTTTTCAGAACATTCATCACAAAAGTAGTACACGAAGTACACTTTCGCAGCCCCAGCGCGAAAGTCGCAGCTCTTCAGTGCTTGAATTGGAAAGTAGTACACGAACTAAACTTCCTCAGCCTCGAAAGTCAGAGCTTTTCAATACGAAAGTAGTCACAAAGTGAACTTCCGCAGTCCCAGCTCGAAAGTCGCGACCTTTCAGTTCCAAAGTAGCACGCGAAGCGCGCTTCCGCAGCTCCAGCTCACAAGCCGCAAGCTGCGCATGAGAGGACCCGTTGGCCTCATGTCCGGAAACTGGCGGGGAGGTCCGTCGACTTTCGCGAAACTTTAGCGGATCTTACGCCAAACATTCGCGAAATTCCGGCTGGAAGTTGCGCTCAGCTTGTCCCGACAGCTTCAAAACTCCCAGAAGCTGGTTTCTGCTGGCTGGGGGTTGCTTTTGCAGCGGCGTATTCTTGCGGCGACCCTCAGGCTGCGCATTCTCCGACCAACTTTACTCTGCGGGCATTCTGCACGCACTGCCGGTAGATACACATGGTTCATCACTCCAGCTTCCTGTTAGCAAGCCACACAAAACTTTCGCGGAAAAAAAAATAACTTTCGCGACCCCCTTCGCGGAACTTTCGCGAAGGTCAACGCTAAGACCAAAAGGTCGTCCCCTTCATAGCTCAATACAACGACCTTTCGGACGACTCTCATATGTGTATGTATGTATGTATGTATGTATGTATGTATGTATGTATGTATGTATGTATGCATGTATGCATGTATGCATGTATGTGTGTATGTGTGTATGTGTGTATGTGTGTATGTGTGTATGTGTGTATGTGTGTATGTGTGTATGTGTGTATGTGTGTATGTGTGTATGTATGTATGTATGTATGTATGCATGCATGCATGCATGCATGCATGTATGTATGTATGTATGTATGTATGTATGTATGTGTGTATGTGTGTGTGTATGTGTGTATGTGTGTATGTGTGTATGTGTGTATGCGTGTATGCGTGTATGCGTGTATGCGTGTATGCGTGTATGTGTGTGTATGTGTGCATGTGTGTGTGTATGCATGCATGCATGCATGTGTGTGTGTGTATGTGTGTATGCATGCAGGTAGGTAGGTAAGTAGGTAGGTTAGTTAAGCTATGCCATGTTATGTAATGTAATGTAATGTCATGCAAAGTCATGTCATGTACGGCACGTATGCATGCATGTATGCAAACAGGTTCATATGCTTGGACATCAGGGGGTAGCCCTTAGATTTCAATTGTCAAGCAAGTGGTGGGGCACCTACAGACTTCCCTGGGCCCCCATAGATGACTACCCAGCCCATAGAAGTCACGCACGTGCTTTTACCCCTCAGGACACCAACCCAACCCACAAGGTTCGAATCGGGGTCGTTAGGCGCAGTCGCTCAGCTAAACCAGCCAGATTGACTCCATAGGGGGCCCCAAAAATGGGAGGTGTCCACTTGGTTTCCCTTTAACCCCCCCCCCCAAAAAAAAAACACGTACCCTCACAAAAAGACACACCCACAATATGACTCCATCCAACGTGTACCTAAAAGTGACACTGTAGCGAGGAACATGAAACTCCATCCAGGAGTCATATCTGAGGTGCCCCAAACACAATGTTCACCTCACTGAGCATCAAAGGTAGTCCCACAAGCCACTATGCCCTTTCAAAACTGGGAACTCCTTAGCTCCCTTGTTCAGCGCAAAATTGGACACTCCCAGCTCCCTTCCACCAGCTGGCAGAGAGGTTAGCATTTTTGTCATGTCACAACAATGACCCCCCGACATGGAACTCGGAAACAAAAACAGACGCGATGCTTGGGTCCCTTCTTCGGGGTTCTGCTTGGTCTGCCTCGATCGGAGATCTATGAGAGGCCTTGTGCAATTCAAGGCTCGGTGGAGGAATTGATCTGCGAAGGCCCCCTGACAGTCTCCAGAACCTCGGTGCCATTCGGCCAGACGCTCTCGCCATAGGACAGGACCAGAATCGTCCTTCGAGGCGCTGGGCACGACATAATTAAAACCCAAAAACGGGGATGGCTGCTGTTCGGCCCTGTCAAACAGGGCAGCGCGAGCCAATTGCACCTACGATCGGGGGCGGGTTCTGGACTTGCATGTCGTTGCTGAAGAATCGCCAGATGTCTGCGTTCTTGCGAAAGGCATGAGCGAATCCGTGCACGGCAACTGAGTGAATGAGGAAGAAACGGGAGCACCTAGCAAAGGCGACCTCAAACTAAACTCAGACCTTCGGCTCCATGCGAACTTCTACTTGCTCAATGGTGTCACTCACAAGTCATGACCCACTGACTGAAAGCAACATGCTCGCCATGCCGAGCTTAGAATCCTTGAGTGCTAGGTGCCATGCCAGTTCTTCCCAAATCCCCCCATCTCTTACGCACCATGGGGATGGGGGCGTCTAAAAACGCGGCGGGGGCCGGGGGGGGGGGGGGCGGCACCCTGTTCCAATGGTTCAAGCAAAACAGGAAACTGAAAGAACACAACCGCCATCTGTCCCCATTTTTGGAAACACCGAAATATGCCTCCCTCTTGCTGACAACTGGCGCATCAACACTACAACAGAAACTTCGGGGGTATAAATTATGTTTCTTTTGTTTTTTTTTAGAACGCTACTGCTACCTCCCAGTCCAGCCTTCCACTTCCCGCTCCCAAAAGTTCCAAATGGGTCCTGAAGGGGTGGCTGAAATTGAAACTCCGCCAGGTGGTGTCGAAAGAGCTGCTCCCAAAGTTGGAGACGCCCAGAGTGACCTGCCATCCGCTAGGATTAAAAAAACAAACTGCCGAGCTGCCTGAGCCGATGGGACGCCCCTTCTTTGCCTTTCCAAGCCATAGACCTGTTTATATATCAGAACGCTGGTTTTGCTGTTGGGCTTGGCCCAACAAGCTTGGTTGCTTAAAGCGGGTCCCTAACCCGAATCCGAAATGCATCGCGGGATGCCACTACAACAAGGAAAGCTCCCTACCATCTAGCGTAACGATTCAGCATTGATTTTAAACAGTCCAGTTTTCTTGGGAGAACGAGCCTCCTCCATGGAACCAAATGGAACCTGAAGGGGGGGACAGGAGGGTGCCACCGAGCACTTGAGGGAATTGAGCAGGCGGCTATATTGTGAAGCCGTGTGACGACTACCTAGCCGAACGGCAAATCAGGACGCCCTGTGAACACTCAAGTGGGCGTCAACCACAGCTCATTTGTCGGCACGTGCCAGACGCGGCGGTTTGCGCCAAAGTGTTTTCGTCTTCGGCGCAAAAAGGGGCTCCGCCTTTACAAGTGGTCGCAAAGCGGGTCCGGAGTATTGGGAACTTCCATGGGATGTCAAGGAGGGTGTCTGAAAACATTTGGGTGGTTGATCCAAAGGTCCTTTACGAGGGATGGCCATTGGTGGGCAAAACTGCTAAAGGGATTCAACACTTCCCGCATGGAAAGAGTTACCAATGTCAAACCTGGGGTCGAAATGGAACATTGGTCAACTCCCCGATCGAGAATTCCAGGAAGTGGGCCATCAGGCCAACTGGACGGAAGCTCCACACCCGTCGAAAGGGGAAAACTTGACGCGCTCGGAACAACAAGAGCCACCCTCAAAAGAAGCTGCAGTAGAAAAAAAACAACATCAACTAATCAACTAATTGATGATCGTATTGAGTGGCTCAGCGATAGCAATCACAAAACAAAAGTATAATGCTACAACTTATCGACGAACAATCATGCTTTGACAATGGTAGGCAGCCGAGCATTAATAGTGAACATGTGTTTTGAGACGCCGCCCTTGCACAGTAGACGCTGCAAGTTCAAGGGCGGAAGTTCTCTTGGGCCCCAACTGGGAAAAATGAATTTGGCCAAACGGAATTACCTGGCACCTTCATCCCCGGACCCTGGCACGAGGAGACGCCTCTTCTATCAACCCAGAAGCCTGAGCCTTCTTGTCAAATGGCCTCCCTAAGGCGCATCCTCTGCTCCACCTACATACCCCCTCTTCCCTTTCACAAAGCTAATTTTCAATGGGGGAGGCACGCCTCTGGGCATGTCAGCAACAGAAATCGGGTTTGGCAACAAAACGACAACTTTATTGGAATTGATCCCTCGGCCACTTTCCAGCCGCTCCCAACTGTCTGGTTTTGCTGGTATCAACCCAACGGTTGAAGAGCCAGCAGCTCAGGCCGCCGTTCCCGCACCAGTCCCTCAAAACGGGGGGAACAAAACAAGATGGGGTTTCCCCTTGGCATTCCCTCTCAAACCTCTCACCCCCCCCCCCCAAAAAAAAAGAAAAAAAGAAAGAGGATATCATCAAAAGATGACCACACACTCACGTCCCATACTTTGGGAGGTCTTTCTAAGACCTGAGGCCTCAAGCGGACCCATGGCTGGGTGCGAAGGTGTTTTTTTTTTCTCGGGGCTGGAGATCTGTCAACCATTCGGGGCCAAGGGCCTCCAAGGTGTCCCTCTAAGACACCAAACCTCAGTCGCACAGATCCGACTCGCACGGAAGCTCCGACATGAGTCCGGATCGCGCGCCTTGGCGCCGTCCAGGTCCTCGAAGATGTTGTCCAGCGACCCGTGGCGCACAAAGACCCCGGCCTCGAAGCCTCACGCGTCCGGCCGCGCGGAAAAGCTTCCGTCGGCGGAGCGGCGCAACATCGGCGGGCGATGGCGATGGCGCCCCAAGGAAAATCCAAGGGGCCGGTGGGATGCATCCAAAAACCAGGCTCCATAGAAATTGCACATGTCGACCCAACATGGGTCTGGGTCCGGGAGTAAAGATCCATGGCTCGAAAAGAGCAATGCCCAACTTGACGCAAGTTCCGGGCACTTCAGCACTCAAGTGAATGCTGACATGTACCTGGGCTCCTTGAGAAAGGCACCTTCTGAAGGCTGGACCAAGCACCTATGAGCACCTATTTTTAGGCTAAGTTTGCCAGAATGAACACTGGGAGAAGGGCATGGTGGTAGGGAATAAGCCTTCCCCATGGTACCAAGATTTTGAGGTGAAAGTCCCCTTGACTCACAAAAGTTGCCCTATATACTCCCAAGGTTCACTCAATTTTCCGCACCCAGGTCCCTTGCGAATTTGCACCAAAGACTTGAATAGACATCAATGGTCCATAACCAAAGTTGGTAATTGGGCATGTGTTCTTTTTTTTTCTTCTGAGAATCACCTCTTTCAAGCATCAAAACAAGCAGCCTTTTCAAAAGCTCCCCGGAGAAAATCTCGTTCAAGCAAACCTCCCTACTGTGGATGGACGAAATTCAGCCTCACCAAAGAAACCCTGGCATGATGATTCCCTATAAATACCAACAGCCAATGGCTTCAACCATGGCTCCATGGTGCAGGATCGATCCATTTCGTCCATCCCCAGGCTGTCCGAAATGTCCGTCCAAGGCATCCAAGGCGCTCGAGTTCAGCAAGGTGTTCGCATAATTTCCTCGGAGCAAACGGAAAGAGCGCCGTTGAGACGCCTCTCGCGCGCGTAGCCCATGGTCCATGGGTCCAAGTTTCCAAAAAGAATCTGCCAAGTGACCTCTTGACCTTGCCACTTGATCCCCTCTTCCCCTCACTTGCCCAAACTTGGACATAGCTTCTTGGTTGCTGTTGACCCCCTGCAAAAAGCTTAGAACTTTTTTGGGGGTTGAGTGGAAAACCCAACTTGATTTCAACCAGAAAAGTTGAAAAATGTCTAAAGATCCAACCCAATAGCAGTCAAGGCTTCACACGTGGACCTTCGAAATCACAGGCTCAAGGCCAACATAAGCCGTGTCCCGCAACCATGGGATGTCGTGCACTGACCGAAGCAGTGGACCATTTCCTCTAAGCCACTGACAGCAAGGCTCTTAAGGCTCACTTCAAAGGTCCTGGAAATTCAAGGTTAACCTTTTGGGACCTTGACTAAAAATGTACCAAAATCAGGAAGTCAAAAGGTCAAAAGGTCGGCTTTGGGCAACTAGGGGTTTCCTGACTCACCCCGACCAAACCGGGGGCAACCCAACACACCACCCAAGCGAGCTGAAACCGTGGCCGCGGGGCCAATCAGCATAGAGTCCGCCAAGTACGCATCCTCATCCGCAGGCACACGCTCCGCGTATGCTGCACTGTACGGCTCGACTCCTGACCAGCCAGAAGCCAACTGCGGACTCTGATCCTCGAACTTAGATGGCCAGAATTAACCTCCCACCAATTAACGTGGACTGATCAGGGGGGGGCGGGTCCTGGAAGACCATCTTCCTTTGAAAGGGACCCTCTGTCAGGTTCCAAGGCAACCCTGCCACACAAATCCAAGGCATGTGGAAGCAAACCTGAAGCAAGCTAGGCGGGGGAAGGCTCCAATGGGGCACGCAAATAGAAACAAACAATGCTCTTTGAGGCACATGGAGCAACTGGCCTTGTGCCAAGGTGTGACACAACGTCAATTTGGAGCTTTCCGAAAGGCAATCAAGCAAAAAAGGGGGCGCCGAATCTGGGATACACGGCGCAAAACCCTTCCAAGCTTCTAGTTAATGGTAGCTTCCAAGTGCAGGCGCATGGTTTTGAGAAACCGTCCATAATTGTCTGCACGAATTGCTGGGCTTACGGATCTTTTCCAACATGCATCCCTTCCAGCATGCATCGAGCGTTCATCAACCAGGGAATTCATCAAACTGGAAGAACCCCCAAGGGTCCTTCATGTGTCCAGAGCTTGCTTTGCCATTCGCAAAGCTCGACCGCAGTGCAAGTATTCAGCAGAATGTCAATTTTCGTAAAACCAGCTGAGGAAAAAAAGGACATCGCCTTTATGGGACGATCAAACGAATTCGCTCCGTCACAGCGCGTTCAAGCAAGTCACCAGCAGGCCTAAAGGGTGAATGGACAGTGGTCCGCGCGCAACACCACAAAAGGCGCTTTCTAAGCTCCGATCTTGGATGCGGGGAAGCCCCATCCAGACTCACTTGGGATTGGCGCGTCTTTGAATCCAGCCCATGTTTGGGGCCTTTCCGAGTGGTTCCATCGATTTTCTATTTTACTCCTTGCTGACTGCCAGGGCAAAGGAAGCCACCCTCCCGAGCCGGTTCCCCGGTCCGTTGCCCCTGCGCCTGCTTTCCCCTGCAAACTCAAAGAGGCCATCCGCAAATCAAAGGCCACGGAGTTGTATTCCTCAGCCGGTGGCCCGTGGGAAAAAAAAGGAAACGGCAGGGCCCTTCGACAGAAAAGCCTGGTCCCTAGGTACATCTACAATTCAGGCGAACATGTGAACCACAAATCTGTGAGTTCCAGTCGGATGGGGCAACATGACGTGTCCCAGTTTCTTGGTGAGTCCTTGTTGGGCTTTCTTTAAAATGAAAGGGACCCCGCGCCCATGTTGGGGGGGGGGAACGCGTCTGACCCTCCCAAGAAAGAGGGGTTCCAAAGCTACACGTCGGATCATCCGCCAGGCCGTGGGAACCGCCGGCCGGTTTGCTCTATCTTCCCGTGACCTCGGGCCCTTCGGTTGCCATGCTCCTCTTAACACCGGGGGGGGGGAACCAGCAAAGTGGCCATCCCCCTATGTTTTCCCCGTAACCCCCCCCCCAAACCAAGGGTATCAACTCAAAAGAGTTGAAAGCCACACCCTCGGGCGCTCCAAGCTCAGCGTCTGTATCTTGCTCCAAGATCAGCTGCCCGTAGAGCCACTGCAGCCAGGGGTGCTGGAGGTTGTAAATCGCCTCAGTCCATGGCACATCCTCAAAATTCCAAAGCGACATAGGCGCTCTACACGGAACCCACTGGGGCCCCAAAAGCAACAACCACAAAAAAGGACACTTCAAGGGGAATCCTCGAACATGCCCTTACACGGCGGGGCAACTTCTCTCACAAAGTGCCCGTAAAACCCTACTTCGGTGAGATGATACTATGGGTGTGCCTTTTTAAACAGATTGGTGGTTTTCCATGTTTTCCCTTTAACGCCCACCCCCCCCCCCAAAAAAAAAAGAGAAAAAGATGGAAGCCTCCAACCCAAGTGTCACTCGCGTCTTGCCGGGGCACATTGCCATTGATGTGTCGCAGCAATTCTTCCGGGAGGCGCCGCTCAAAGGCATCCCAGCTATCACCTGGCGGTGAACGTTCAGCTTCGTTTGGCGGAGTTCCCGGGCAAGCGACCATTTCACCAGAACCAAGGGCTCAAATCCAAATCCAAACTTACCAACCCAAACCGCAAATGGAGGGATACTAAGCATTCTGGATGGATGTTGACGACCGCATCCAACTTCTAGGTTGGGGAACAGACGCAAGCCACCCAAAGGGTGGGCAACCCAGGGGCCTAACCCTGAGTCCCTTGAGTCCCTGGCCTCGGTAGAGGCTGCCGCGGACAGCCGCCCGGGGGTAGTGCAGGGCTTCCAGGATGAACTGGTCCAGCCAGTTGGACTTGATGGGAACGGCGTCCAGCTCCTTAGCCCCGATCCCTCGAAGCCCTTCGCTCGGACTTGGAAAGCTCGAAACTCGGAGCTCGGCACCCACAGACTAGCAAGTGTCCTACGGATTAGCTGATTAGCATGGAACTCAAAACAAAACAAAAAAAATCGAAAGACCATCCTACTCAGAGGAAGGCTCCTTTTGCTTCACAATTTGCATTGGAGGAAATCAAGCTTGCTAGGCCGAAATGAGCTTCCCAAGCCTCCCGGTAGTCCGAATTTATATGTCCTAGACTGAACCCAGGAACAAAACTCCCCCCCCCACCCAAGTAGGAGGCAAGAACCCAAGAACCCAATGTACAAGGACCAGGATTTAACAAGGCCCAATAAAGCCATAATGACATCCGGCTAAGAAAATGTAAATCGAATGCGACCCTGCAGTTGGCCGTTTTGGTTGGGTCCCACTGAACGGCTTGGTAGCATCCCATTTCCCATGGCGGGAGACTTGTTGGACCATGGGTCGAGCTGGCTGGCGCCTGCCTGCCCCAACCCCCAAATCCCCAATTCCGGTCGTTTCCGTGGACATAAACCAGGAGCTACAACAGAACAGGAATCAAAACGCAGCGGGAGGCGCAGAGAATCCAGGGGCCTGGACAAAGACAAGAAAACCTTTATCCATCCCTTTGCGCCGCCTCGTGGAGGACATGAAAAGAACTCATGCCCGGGGGCTCTACAAAGCTCCGCAAAAAGGCGGGGGGGGGGGGGGGGGGGGCTTTGGGTATTTTCATGACGCCAGGTGCTGCGGCTGCCATGGACACAACAGGTGAAAATCCCCATGGGCCTAATGGAGAACCCAATTGGATTCGGGATAGGCCTTTAAAGACCTCCATTTGTTCAAGCCCCTTGGGAAACATGTCCAATAGTGATAGGTTCTCTTTTTAACCAACAGCGGAAAACCACAAAATGATAGGAAGCAAATGGAAGACCCCAATCTTGGCCAACTGCGATCCCAAGCATCCATGAAGTAGAATGCATCATAGGTCGCGTTGCTGCCGTTGCCAAAGCCCCCATCGTAGAAGCTACCTCGGAGCCATTGAATTGATGACTGTCATGTCCTACCAGGCTTGCTGGCTTGTTCTCAGCAGGACAAGCCATCCGTTGTGGCTTCCTTGTAGCATCCCCGGGCTTCCCAAAACCCCAAGGGCGCTTCATGTCAGAAACTTGTAGCGGAGAGGAGACTTTCATGAGCCGCGGATCGGTTTTGGTATGTGTTATCCAGCAAAGGCGATGGTCTCCATGCTGAAGCCCCGGAAAAGAACAGTTCCCTTGGTTCCCTGCAAGAACGGCTTCATCTCAGGGCAATTTCCTGAAACGGGCAAAGCCCTGAGTTTCTGTCAAGCTGAGAACAATGGAATGCGTCCGGCCAAGGGTCTATTCACGCCACATCACTTCCGTCATGCGCTGTAGAAACGCCAATCTCACTTGCGCACTCCGAAAAAACAAGTCTCACGGACAGCATGGGCCAGCTCGCTGGCTCCGGGCAAGCCGTTCAAGCAACACAGACATAGCCCCCTTCACAGACCGAGGTCAAAGGGGGAGCCCTCGAAGGTGACCCCAACATCCCAAGCCCAAGCCACCTCGCCCTTCGTCCCCAATCCCCATCCGCAGAGGTGCCCAGGACGTATCGGAACACGCTGTTCGGGCCATTCACCCAGTCCTTGCGCACTGTGTAGCCTGCGCTCGAACGACCCGGCCGGCCAATTCCCTCCCTTCCATCCTGTGGGCCTGTGCGGCATGGGATGAGACTCAGTTGGCACCAATTTCCATATGTGCTGATTGCTGATCTGCCACAAACAGCGAGGTCTTCCCGGGACATTCCTTCAGTTTTCACGCCCTAGGGCGGCCTCCTGGCCTTGGCTGGTGCTTAGACGCCTCGCTACCACTGAGCAAAACAACGCGGCTTCCCACACCCCAACCAAGCGGGATGGTACGCCAATAACTGACACTGACGAACTTACTTCCTGAGTTGATTGGCCAAAAAAAGTCCAAACTTTTTGTTTACCACCAAAATGGTCTTCCCAAAAAGTTTAAAGTCCAGGAACTCAGGGAGTGAGCGAATCCATACACCACCAGTCCCGCCCCCCAACCAAAACACTCGCCGTCCCACCGACCAAGAACTGTCTCTCTAGCTCTGTCTCGAGCCTCGGGAGTCATAAATGTCCTCCTGCTCGGTCCTGGGCCAAGGGGCTGCTGGAACCCTCCCATTTGCTCATTTGCTCATTTGCTCAGTTGCTCTTTAGAATAGTTTTCTGTCTACCTCAGAATGATTGATTTATGCTTGCCCATGTTTGTTAACCTTAATTGCAAGTTCATGTCCAAAGAGATCCGAGCTGCGGTACATAGACATCCCTTCATGTTCTCATCCCCGAAAATCCGGCCAGCCAGCTCAAGCGGACACCTTCCAGAGATTCTGAGCAGTGCTCCCATGATCCTGCCGCAATAAGGCGTTCCTGGCCTGACCCTTAACACCGCATTTGCCATCAACCCTGTCTCTCACCCGCTGAGCCGCAGTGGTGGGCATATGTTTCAATGGGGACCTGTTTTGGATGCTTTAGAAAGAGGGTGCCTTTCTCACCTTGGCTTGGTCTTCACAAGTTTCTGACCGGCCGTGCAACGAGGGCGCAGCACAGATCCTGGTAGTGGACTTGCTTTAGAATTCACGCAGCTGGATGGCTGTTGCACGCCCCAGCCCTGCATTTCAGACATCTCTGTGCCACTCCAAAGCCAGTTGTGGCCCCCTCCCGCCTCGCAAAGCTTCTTACCTTCTCAGGGGCCCTGATCAATTCTGAAAACCTTGCTGAAAAGTTTCCCAATGTAACCTTGCAAACCGAACCCAAGGGGCAACCACTCGGAGCGCCCTATCCACTATTTTCTTTCAGACGGCCCATCTCCGCCCTTTCCAAGGCATGTTCTGTCTCGAAAAACTCCCCCGGCGGCGCGGGGGGCCTCGGAATTTCCCGCCCGGCCCGGCCGGCCAGACTTTCCAAGGCGCAGGTTGGCAGAAAAGACCTGCAGGGACCGGAAGCAGCGCTGCCAGGACGCGGCATCGAAGATGTCCTGCACCGCACGCCTCGGTGACTCGACCCGATTGCGAGCGGCAGACGAAATCTGGCATTGGGAGACGGAGAAAAAAATGGGGAGTTTTGTGGGGATCCAAAAAACGAATGAGGCCAACGCATTCTGACGGCCCCAGCTCTTGCCCAAGTGCTTGTAAATACGCTAAATGATGTCAACAGAGATCCCAGACTGGGTGGGACTGGATTTCCGGTGTTCCCCACACTTTGAATCGAAGGTAAGGAAAGGAGGACACGCTATGCGAAGCTGCCATCCCAGATTAACTCATTCCTGAGGACGCGCAAAGTGAAAATCGGGCCAATCAAGAAGCGCTGAGGTCCAGCAAAGAAGGAGCAAGTCAGCCAGCCAGCCAGCCAGCCGGCAAGCAAACAAGCAGGCAGGCAGACAAGCAAGGCTCAACGTCTTGCTTTTTTGACACCCGCAAGTGGGTCACAGCATGTGGGCCATGCCCCATGGTACCTTCAGAGCATACCTCCATAGCCTCAGGCCAGAACACATGCCCAGCGAAGCGACCCATCCATACCTGACTTCAAAATACACCCCGGAACTGGTCGGGGCACTCAACCCGCTAAAAAACAAAACAAAGACTTCACGGCCCCTAAACCCCACCCCCCAAACGGCCAAGAGCATCCACAAATCAGCGAGCACTGAGTCACAAGCCCGAGGAAAGGGCTGAAGGAGAAAAAATGGCTGCGAGAGATGGGAAGCATCGGAACCCAAAAGAACCATGCAGCTTTTCAAACAAGACTCGGAAGGTCATTGCAGCAACTTGGAGCTTGAATTTGGACTGATGCTCGCTGTCTGGCCTTCCTTCTTCATCACCTACACCAAAACCAAAGAAGAAGAGGGGCCCAAGCGTTTTGCCATCGTCCAAGTCACCCCATCAGTGCTAGTTCAAAGGGAAACCCCCCCAGTTTCCGACTTTCGCCCGCCGAAGTCATGACCCCCCCACCCATCCCACCCCCAGCTTCCTCGCCGGGCCACGTGGCGTTCCTGCCGTGCAAGCCCCGGAAAGGAAGAAAATTTGTTTGCCGCGCGGGGAGTTTCTGCACCAAGCACCAAAGCTGAGGACTCAAAGATGCAGTCCGGGGGGGGAAAAATACTCTTTGTTGAACCTACTCTTGGGGGTACCTTGTTGAACCTACGCTTGTTCAAAAACAGCCAGGCTGCCTCATGCCTACATGACCACAGTCATAGCGCGTCGCTGGTGTCAGCTTGGTAGCGGCTGAGGGGTTCGGCCACTTGCGCGGATCGAATTGGAACATACACGTGGGATGTCCCTGAGGTCGACTTGTCATTCCATGACAAGGGCCCTCCTGAGGTTGTTTCTCACAAGCGATGCCCTTACAGGAGTTGACATGACCCTTTTGGCTTCCCTTGGGCTTTCTCAAACAATTGTTTTTCTAGAAACTCCTTGTGTTTTCCTCGGAGTTGGTTTCCTTCAAGCACCACAAGTTGATGTCCTGAATTTGGGTTCGCCCCAAGGAGTCCAAGGAAACCGCCAAACCTGGACAAATGTGCTCAGACTTCCACAGGATTTTAATGCAAAAACCGGCCACCCCCTTAGGTCCTTGATCTTCAAAGGGGAGGTTCCCCCCCCCCTCCAAGCAAAAGTGGCTTGGAACATCTGCCCAGGAGCCCTGGAGCTGTTTTGCGGGCCGAAAGGCGCGGCGTCGGCGTTGGCATCCAGGCTCTGGCTGTAGACCAGAATCAGATCCACGCTCGCGGCAGGAGTGTTCGCGCAGGGCGCCACCTCCGCCCAGAGCCTTGGGGCGAAGTTCCGCGAACGGCCAACCAACAGTAGACAGGTGATCTAGCTGCGGATGCATATCTACATATATATATATATCATACCTATATATATATATATATAATAGTATAGCGCATCACTTCCTGTAGTCTCGACTTGCCCAGAAAGTCCAAACTCTTTGTTTGAAACTAAAACGGTCTTCCCAAGAAGCTCTAAGTCCAGAAATTTGAGGTGCAATCCACTGAACCGTGGGTGCCTTTTTGCTGGGGCCACGAGCCAAGAACCAGCAAAGGGAACATGAAAGCCACAAACCCAGAACCCCACCACGGCCCCCATCAGCGCTCGGAGAGGTCAGACGCGGAGCTCGAAGGCACTTTGGAGCCCGTCCACCTGGCATTGCTGTCGCTTTTTTGTGTTTCTTTCTGAGTGGAGAAACCAATGGTTACCCCTGAGTAGATAGTAAGCCTGGGGGGGGAAAGGGGAAACCTTTAATGGGGGGGGTGCTGGTCGTTCCCTGACATTGATCCAGGTTCCCGAAAAAAAAGGTTGAAGGCAAAAGATCATGGCCAAAGGCGAACCAAGAAAACTTGAAGGGGCTGTGCACAACAAAAGGTGACACTTGGATGGTTGAAATGTGGAAGGGAAAGTCCGGTAGGGGGGATGTTCAGATTGTAGAAAGTGGTCGTTGGTTGCCCTTGGCTCCCAGAAAATTTGGGATATGTCGGATTTGTGCAACCCCGTAGCCCCCTGGGCGACGAGAAATTGACCCGAATCCTGTGGACCCCCCAGAAAAGCAGGAGAGAAGCCAAGGGTAAAGCGCTAGCATGCATTGGCTTCGCAGGAAAGCGTGCCAGTTGGTCAGTTTGGCCAGCCAAGCTACATGAGTTTAACGCAAGGCAGAGCAGAGGACGGCCCAGACCTACGACCATCCCGAGGCGTCCATGCGGAACCTCCAACTTGGCAGCTCATAAACGCTAAGAACCCAAACCTGAAAACCCCTAACTTATGCCTTGAGAACCGTAAACCATAAACGCCCTAAGTAGACATCAAAAATCAAAGCCCAAGCCCAAAACAAACCAAACTCAAAAACCCTAAACCTTACATCCTAGAAGTCCTAAACCTTACATCCTAAAAGCCCAAACACCAAATACCCTAACTCCTACAAACCCTAGATCGAAATCTGACCTTGAGGCGGCACAGTTGTGTGGGTATAAATGTCCCGATGTGCATACGCATATACATTAAACAAAATGCTAATGTCCATTTGGAAATACATGTTGGCGGAATATAGAAATATGTGTTTTACATATGCCTTGGTTCGTCTCAAAAAAAACTGCATCTCAATACCATTGCTGCAAATGCATAGGTAACATGTAATCAATGATTGGTTAAAGCTGGTTCAGTTCTCATGAGCAAGCATCCACATATAGTGGGAAACAATCAGTTCACACCTGGACCCACCAATTGTGCCACGGAAATCTCCAAGAAATATGCTATTTGTTACCCACCATAAGTTATTCCAGGGTTCCATGCGCCTTTTGTCAACCGTTGCGCTTGGGTTACCTCCTTGAGGAATCCACATGGCTTGAGATGATAAATCGGTTGGCCTTGTGGTTCTTTTTCAAGAGACCTAAAGGGGTTCCCGGTTCTGTCACTGGAGGCAAGACAAACAATACAACGAGGAGATATCCATGCGACGTATACAAATCCTTCCCACATAGCACCTGCGTGACCCGAAAGACAAATTTCCCGGAAAAAACACCCACGTCGTCAGGCGCGAGGGCAGGGAGGAAGGGCATCAAGTGAACTGCCCTGATTTTATCATGAAAGTGCGGCCCCCCGCTCGCCTCGCGGGTGCTCGCGAAGGCTCTTACCAACGCCAGGTCCCCCGACGCTGGCACTAGGCCTGGCGGAAGGGGGGTGGGGTGGGAGGGGGTTGGGGTAGCAGAGGAAGTTGCGTGCTGCTGCTTTTTTGTTTGTTTGTTGGGGGAGGGGGGGTGGGTATTTTTGTGCTTGTTGGGGGGGGTAGAAGTTGTTTGGGTGACTCATAGTGGTAGAAGTTTTTTGGGTGACTCGTAGTTGCCATTTGAGGGGCTGCTGAACATCTCGACGAGCGCCAGACCGGGCCTAGGATCGCCAGCCACAGCAATGCCTCGCGCAAGCCAATGGTGCACGTGGCGGGGCGACGGACTGTATGCGACTGCCATCTGCTACAACCAAGTTACTGTCCGGAAACCACTTGGGTATGTTTCAAGATCGGGCGGTGTCATGTTTATTCGCGGCCCACCGGTGCCTCCGCGTCAGCTTGGCACTTTCACACCAGTCGATCAGTTCATTGGCACTGATGTTAGCTTCACCCCGCGTCAGGTCTGTGGCCGCCCGCCTGCCAGCGCATCTCTCCACCTCGCAAGAAAGTGCCAATGAAGCCACTGGTTTAGGAATTCATCCGCTGAGCGGAACCCAGCCAAATAGGTGGCTTGACTTAGACGGCCGTGACAGCTGTTCATTCGAGGACCCGGCCTTTGGTGGGAAAACATGGGGATTTATGTCCAGCAACAGGGTGTTCTCTGCTGAGATTCATGGCCAGTTCGCTAATCTTGGAGAAAGAGCGTGGAACCAAGACAGCCTCCCAACATTTCGTGAAATGATCTTGGGGAACCGGCCCATTCATTATGTGGGGGGCCACCGTCATGTATCCCAACCGTACCTGGCTCCAAAGTCTACCCATTATCTTGTCCATCCAGCATTTTCAAAAATTGCAAGGGAGTCGTCTTGGAAAGGGGGCATGCGTCCCTAGATTGCGGGGGGTGCCCGCCGGGCACATCGCGGCACGCGCAAGAGCCAGCCTCCGAGCCGGCGGCCTTACTCCGCCATGGGCCACGGGGCGGATCGCGCGCAACAAAGCTGGCAAATGATCGCTGCGAATGACTCAACAAAAAGCAGCAGATGCTGCGATGCGGGACACATTCATCCAAAAACCTCGCAAGACCAAACAGTGTCAAACAGGTGCGCTTCAGGACAGGCGCCCAACAATGCTCAGGCAGGCAATGGACCCTAATGGCCAGTGTTTTTCTTGGCCCCCTCCTTTTTTTCCCGGACCCGGGCGCCTTCGGCGCGCCTTTGGTCTGGGCCAGAGCTGCGGATTTTCGCCGGGGAGGTCGCGGTCAGGGCGGCCCGGCCATTTCCCCAGAGGCTTGGTGAAGCCCAGGGAAACGGGGGACCTCTGCGCAGGCCCGGGGAAATGGGAAATGGGAAAGCGCAACGACAAGGCTCTCTCATCACCCCCTCCAATCAGGGAAACGGACGAGGGCATGAGGTTTGCCAGTTCAGGAGTCAGCTGAAACAGACCACGCCCCCTGCGAAAGAGGCGACGTGGGAGCCTGCGATGGAAAAGCAGGGAATCCATTAAAATCTGGCATGTAGCAGGGTCAAGGACCGTAAAGGATATGATTTCCCAGTGAGCTGGCGCACAACCCGAAGGGCCCCCCCCCTTTGGGTGTTCCGTATGTTGAGAAGCCACCTTGGGCCATTGGTCCACAGAACCCAAGGGTCGATAGAGTTTGTCGTGAGGCCGTTCTCCACTTAGTGGCTGGGAGGGTGCACCAAGCAAAAACTCACGTCCCAGTCTTGCTTCTCCATGATATCCAAAAGGCAGCAAGAACGACAGATCCTATGACAAGAGTGGCCCCCATCGCAATGTGGTCCCACCTAAACGCACCTGTTCACGGGGAAACCTTGTGAATTGATATGAGGCTGTTATGTTTGACAGGGGTCGCTGGATTTCTCCCTTCGCGTGTTCCATTGAAACTGCCAATTTAGGAGGCTCCAAAAATGGGAAACGGAGGGTTCCCGCAAGGGGAACAAAGGATCACCCACCCACACTCACCCCCTGGCAGCGCGGGCGCTTTCGCGCTTTTCTGGGCGCTAGAGCTCGTAGGCCACGTCCAACCGCTTGCGCCTCACGAAGCGTTCGGCGCTCAACTTCGTACCTCTGAGCCTCCCTGCAGCATCCAAACGGTCTTGACTCAGCAAGGCACGAAAAGGGCGCCCACTGATATTCAAGAGCACCCAAAACAAGGACTGCCCGGGCATGTGCCCCGAATATTGACACCTCACAGATGCACATGACCTGCGTACCTCTATGAATAATGATATGTGTGTATGTCATGGGGCCTATTTCAAGGCTACGCGGTGAGGACTTAAAAGGTTGGGAGTAGGAGTTAAAAAGAAACCCCAAGGGTTGACAAGGGAAGCAAGTTCAAGCCAAAAGAAAAGCAACAGGAAAAAGTAAAAAGCAAAGCAAAGGCAACACTGCCGCTGTAGGGGTGTTCAAGTTGCTGTTCAAGGGCTACGTTCGAGTATGTTTCTTCTAATGATGGCAGCTCAGAGCAACCCTGGAAAACGCCTAATACCATGTTGGGCGTCGCAAAGGGTGGGTTGGACTGCATTTACTGGTGTGACAAGGGTCGGTTAAAGGCTGGGATGGGTATTATTTGGGTTTAAGGCAACTCCTCTGAGTGGCATGTCCCCCTTGGCAGTGATGTAAGGCTCACTCTGGGTGCCTTTGGAGTTGTCTGGGCTGTTGAGGACTGCTTGGGCGTATTCTGCCTGTCTCTGGGCCATTCCGAATGGGTTCCAGGATGGGGTTTGAGGATCATGGTCAACCTGGTGGTTGGGTGGTTCTTTTGGAGCAGAGGTTGTTCTCGGGGTAAGGTTCACCAACGTCGCCATATTCTCGGGCAACTGGCATAGTCTTGTTACCTGGGTGTACTACTTCCTTGTCGGGTTCTGAAAGGCTTGTCGGGTTTTTGTTCGCCCCCTATGAAGGTTCACCGGCGGCGACGCCTAGGGGCCCCCCCTCCACCCGCCGGCCACGCGCCCCCCGAGTCACTGAGGGTGCAGCGTGCCCTCTTCGCCCTGGCCGTGGCCCTCTTCGCCGTGGCCTGAGTGGCACAATGGCGCAATGGCCCGCCCGCCACGTGGAGGAAAAAAACACGCACGGGTAAATGAGCCATGGCTCACTGAAGAATGAAACATACCCATCCCCACTTATAGGCCATACGAGCAAAACTCGCCCAAATGGACAGACTTGTGAACCCTGCCGCGCGAGTTTGGGGCGTTCTCCAGCCGTCCACGTGCGGCACGGCGCCCAACTCGCGTCAGCATCGCCCTCCCGGTGTCCCAGCTCACCGTCCAGAGAAGTGGCGCAAGGTGGCCGGAGGATGTCCAAAGCAAGACGTCCGCGCGCGGAGAAGTGGCGCGAAGTGTTAAAAGAGCGGCTTCTACGCCAACGGCAAATGGGGATGGGCCAGGTAGTGCGAGCGATCGCCGACCTGGAGGTAAAGCTCGCCGGCATTTCGAGAGCAAGGCGTTCCTCTTTCAAACTGGTGGCGCTTCGAGACGCCAGCCCAAACAGGGGGAGTCTTACAAAGCGCTTGCCCTTTCGCACATCGGAGACACGCCCGAAGGGCCACGAAGTCGCTAGACAGCTGGGGGCAATGCTGTGCTCAAGGGTCGGCTCATGCGGGGTGCCCAGACGATGGCCGAAACATGGCCGCAGCTTCTCTCACCAATGCCCAAGCGCCCAAGCCTGCCGAAACGAGCATGAAAGGCAACAGCTTCACCAGCTACTGTATGACCAGCTGCCTTCAAAATCAACATGAACAAACGCACAATCGCCAAGCAAATGCACGTGAAACTGAAGTCCGTTCCAACAACCGTCTAATGTTCAGACCTGGAACCGACCTATCCAAGAAGCACTAATACAGTTCATGCGGAAAGGTCGCACAGTCGCTTCTGGGCTTTCTGTGCTTGACCTCTGCAACAAGTCAAACTGTTTGTTTCTTAGTGGTGGGACAATCGCTTTTTCTGGCTGGCACCAAGTGAAAGAGGTGAAAGATCAGAGCAAAGAGCGCCCCCAAGTCAGACTATCTTGCCCCTTGGCAACGTTCAAGCCATAGGGTTTGGGCTGGAAAATAAAAAAGCCGCCAGTGCATCGTCGCTTCGTCGCTTCGGGCCGCGGGCGCTTCGTTTTACATGGGGAACCAACTGGAATGCCGACAACGAACATTCAATGGGGAACTGTGGTTGTTTCCCCAGAGACGAAACGTCCTGCCCTGGACCCATGACAAGCTGGCTGGGTCGGGCTTCGGATTGGATGGACTCGCCCAGCAAGAACGGCCAACGAACGTATTGCAACTGCTGGTCAAACGTCCTTTTCAACTTGCCTGCACGTTCAACATCATGCCCGTTGTCTGGGCATCTCCCAAGACCGTGACCCCTCCAATCAGCCGGATCGGACCCCTTCCGAAAACCATCTGGCGACGGGTCAAACTAGTGCGGACGAGCTACCCACAATAGAAAAACAACTGTGTTTCCACCAACCTACACCTTACCCCGGTTGCCCAACAGTGGAACCCCCGTATGTCACAAACCCATGTCTAATGGGGAGCCCAAACGGTCGACTCGGGTGAACAGCTCCTCGCCTGCGCTCTCGTCCAAGCCAAAGGCACCAGCCATGTTGGCCCAGTAGCGCCTTGTCTTTTTTGTTGAGCTTTGCCCCCCAGTTTTGCAGCTTTCAACTGGAAACCCTGCCAAAAATCCCCATGACGCTCATTTTAATGAAACTGGGTCATTGCCCCAACATCACGCAGTCGTAAAGAACCCCAAAGGTGGGCTGACCCGCGTTAAAGCCGCCATGGAGGTCCCCGTTAGTTTCCTTGCTTGTGTTTGAGAAACACACAGGAGCTTTGGGTTGGTTCAAGGAGAAGGCCACAGGGCAAGCCACCGTTTCCAGGGGTCCCCGTTTTGGAAGCTCCCACACAGTCGCCTCTCTTCCTCCTCAGGCAACACCCTGCGCACCTCCACCTCGGCGCGCGGGTGGTGGAAAAGTTGTCTGCGCGTTTGCCGGGCGAAAGGCAAGCAGGCCACGTTTTTTGGGGGAAGCCGCCTAGCTTCCAGCAACAGCATGGGGAACTACACACACACTCACTGGCACACACACACACACACACTGGCACACACTGGCACACACTGGCACACACTGGCACACACATCACCCGCCCAAACAACCAACCAACCAACCAACCAACCAACCAACCAACCAACCAACCAACCAACCAACCAACCAACCAACCAACCAACCAACCAACCAACCAACCAACCCATGCACGCACGCACGCACATGCTTTTCACACACACACACACACACACACACACACACACACACACACAGTTCCTTCAATAGTGCTTGGTCGCGGGCGTCTTTCAAGGTTCCTGATGCACCCAGATCAAAGCCGATACCCTCCTGCAAATCAAATCTCGCTGGGATTCTTCATTTGCACGTGCCACCACCATTGGCACAGTCAGAGACAGAAACAAGTGGGACAGTGGCCCGGGCTCGGGGACTCAGAAACGGCAAAGGGACAGACAACTTAAGCCTGGCCGCAATGACGCATCCCTTGTCCTTTGTTTGGATGGCAGCCCGAGCTGGCGTGCAAGCCGCCCGTTGCTAACGCAGGTTGGGCTGCGTGAGTAAACATCTCGCATGTCACTTAGACGAATTCCATTTGAATGCCGGGATTCTCCTGGGAGGAGAAACCATTCAGGGTGGTGAACTAATCAGGGGTCCCGGGCCGTCTCGTCCACCTCCTCGTTCTCTTGGGCGGGGTGGCTGTGGCAACCTCAGGCGTCCCGGCACGTCGAGTTGGCCCAACTGCCTGAATCAGCCACTGGCTCCCACAAACATAGAGCGCACGGGCTCGCTTTGCCGTGAGGGGGGGGAGGGCTGAATATAGACAAATAAATTAAGTAAACAACCACCTAATTAAATATATATATATACACATACGTGTATATCTGTACTGGCTGGCACGCATGCGCTCCTTTCTCTCAAGGGTAGTTGCTCGGGCGGGACATTGTTTGGGGCAATATGCTTTTTCAGACAGACAAAAAGGCAGGCAGGCAGGCAGGCAACAGAAAGCAAAACACACACAGAAATAAAACAAGCAAACAAACAAACAAACAAACAAAACAAACAAAGAAGACAGGCAAACTCGCAACAAACCAACGAACACACAAAGAAACAAAGAAAAAAACAAATAAACAAACAAACAAACAAACAGACAGACAGACAGACAGACAGACAGACAGACAGACAGACAGACAGACAGACAGACAGACAAGACAGACAGACAAGACAGACAAGACAGGGTGGCGTCGCCGCATGCGACCCCGCGCGTTTTGTGTGTTCTTACAAACGTTCCCGTCCAATTTGGGGTGGCTCAGATATATATATATATATATACTGCGTTTACCAAGGCTTCAGGCATGCCAAGCCCGATCTCCAATGTGATTTGAAGCTTTTGGTCAAAACGTGTTGTTTGGGGTATATTCATGGACATGCAAAGAAATGCACTCGCATTCCGTGTGGCCTGCGCAACGAATTGGGCACTTACATCTGGTTATCATGCCTTGGCCCAAATTGCTCACAGAATTCGCGCAGAGCAACTTGCACAGGGCAAATTGCGCAGAGCAAGCCTGCGCAGAGAGACTTTGGCTCGCAGAGCATGTTCTGCGGGGTATGGATTCTGATCGTGCATGCAACATCCTGGTGGGGGGGCGGGGCTGTGCTGAACATTCCCACCAAAACATTGGGAACCACTGCACCCATCCAGCTTCAACTGAACGGGCCACCCACAGAGACTTAAAACAAGTCACAGCCAAACATCCAGCCGAGGCAAGATTCCAAGGGCAATTGGCGAAAGGAGCGAGGACTAGATGACGGCGAAGCAAGTGCGAGACACCAGCAGAGCGGAGGAATAGGACGAGACCTAAAACCATCGGGCCCGAACATTTGAGCAAGAATGCCGGCAATCAGGCATAGGGCAACGAGCATGAACAAATCTGCTATCACCCCCCCTTGGCAAGAGGCAGAGAGTGAACCAACTGCAAGTTCTCCGTGTGAACAGGAGTAGCGTGTGAAAAACATGCAGGTTCACCGGGGCAGCAAGTGGTGACGTGAGCACAAACAAGCAAACATGCAAAACGATAAATAGAGAGAGAGAGGGAACAAACATGCAAAAGGGAGAGCGAGAGTGAGAGAGAGAGGGAGCGCGAGACAAAAAACAAAAAAAGAAGACGAAGAAGAAGAAGAAGAAGAAGAAGTGAGCGAGCGAGAAAGGGAAAAAAGAGAAAGAGTGAAAAGAGAGGGAGAGAGGAGAACAAACAAACAAACAAACAAAAAGCCGAGAGAGCGAGAGGGAGAGCCGAAGGCACAGTCCATAAACAGAATTGTCGCGTCAAGCCACCAGACCATGAACCCCACCCGAAGGAAAGGCGAACACAAGCCGATGCCTTGACAGCAATGGGGGTTGCGTTTGCAGTCGTTCTGAAGCAATTTGACCCACGATTGGAAACACGGTGGGTATCCCGTTTTGTTTGTTTTTTGTGCGGGCAGCACCTTTTGTTTTAATCCGACAAGTTCTTAAATCTGGGCTCAACAAATGGGCATGTCTGAAAAACATGAGGGGCCAAGAACAGCATATCGTATGCCTAAGAACCTTTATAATATAATCTCCCAATTGGGTGGTGAACATGAATCCATTTCGGGTCCGGGACCCTTTAAAAATCATACCCATATACACCAACTTGCCACGTGTCATCGCAATCCCTCCTTTCCACGGGCCCACAGGGGCCCCAGCCGCCGCTTTTGCGAGGCGCGGCCTCGCACCAAACCCGTCGATCCCGCTGAACAAACCGATTCATCGACAAAGACGGTGAGCAAGGGCAAATTAGGCAAACCGCGCGGGATACCGACTGCATTTGTGTTCAAACATTTTGCAGTCTGAGAGAAACTCAGGCAGCTGAGTCAGCTGAGGCGAAAGAACTCAAGGCAAGGAATGACTAAACTCAAAAGCTCCTCCAGAGGGACCTTCCTCTTCGAAAAAGGTCGGCGCACAGGCTCCACCAATCCAAGACACTAAGGCCCCGAGCGGGTTGGGTCCACGTTTGGTATGTCCTTGCATGACATCGCTTGATGCTTACAATACGTTTCCTCCTTGAAGGCACGAGGACACACGCTTCCCAAAGAAGAGGGGCACCCAGCTAGCTGGGAGCATTGCTGTGAGCCGCTGCTATGCTCTGAACGGAGGACCTTCCCAGCTCGCTTCAAGGTCAGCAAACTAGGATGTGGGAATCCTTCCCTTGAAGGTCACGGCATGGGTTTCATGCCACTGCCATCTGCCCGCCAAAACTGCTTGGCTTGCCCTTGGTTTCCTGCAACCCATCCAAGGTCCAAACGGAGCTCCCTATGTTGAGACAGACCCACGGAGCCATAGCCGCTGTTCCGATCCCGCGCCTGCGAGTCGCTCCGCGGAGCCGCGCTCAGAAGACCCAGGGCGAGCAACCTGGGTCAACACAAGTGGCAAGGGACCCGCTCGGAGGCTCGGAAGCTGAACCATAGTGGAGGAAGCCACAAAGAGAAGGAAGCTGAGTGCCTCTGAACTGGGGTTGGGGTGAGGGCTTGTGATGCCGGCAGGGCCTGAACACCTCTCATCTGCATGTTCGTGGGCTCTAAACTTGAAACTAAGAATGATCATTTCAACATGAGCCTCCTCCTCCTCGTCCCTCGTCCGCGAACGCATGTGAGCCATCATCAAAGCCCCTGCGGTGTATGGTGAAAAAAACTCAAAGCAATCTAACAAGTTCAACAGCTGCGGAGGCTTCGTGGCCATCCTCATGCATTGGGAAGCACAACTTGACCTATGCCCAAAAACCAGACCACCGGGTTCCCTGCGAATCCTTTGAGCGACAAGACCGTTTGAGTTGTTTCTCTCCAGTGGCGTGGCAGTCCCTTCCCAGTCCCTGTCCCTTCCCCTTCCCAGTCCCAGTCCCTGTCCCTTCCGGTTCCTTGCACTCTTGTGATACCACCGGGCCTTGGGACGCCAGAGGGGAAACCACCTCTCTCTTTTTGTTCAGGGACGCTCCGCCACTTTACCACACACACGCATCCCGGAAAAGCCCGAAAATCCCGACCCCGGCTGAGCTCACCGCCCTTCGTCGAGCTCAGAGGTGCTCTGTACCTGCTGTGTCGAGGCTGGTGATGGAAACTCCAAAAGGAGTCTTCCCCCCCCCCTACGAAGCTAGTTGAATGGAAAAAGTAGAACGAACAAAATGAACATGGCATTCCCCTTGGGTGCTTTCACAGAACGTGGCCACCCATCTCCCGACCTCACGTTCCTTCCTTTTTCCCTCGCAATCTCACGCCCTCCTGGCACGGAGGCGCTCGAAGAGGCCTGGGCGGAACTTTTCCGAGGGCGGCATTGGGGGGGGCATACTGTGGATGGACGAAATCCATTTCGCACCACCTCCAAATCCCTGGAGTATGACTCCCCTGTAAATACCAACCAACAATGATTTCCCATGGTTTCAAATTGGTGCAGGATTTCGTTCATCCACCGTAGGTCCGAAGTGTGGCGAACACAAAAGCTCATGTTGCGGATTGACGGACCCACAAGCGCGTCCCCCCCGCAACCCCGGCTGCAACCCCCCTCCCCATGTCCCCAAAGGGGGAGGGGTGTGGTTGGGGCAGGGGTGGCTTAGATTCTTTGAAAGGAAGTCGCGGCTCGGTCCCCCGGCTGAACTTGGCGTCGGGCCTCGAAAGCACGGCTTGCGCCAGTGCAGTGAACACCAAGAGGCTGGGTGGCGGGGTGCAAATAGGCTGCGCTTTGCAGCGTTTCGAAGCTAGCGCCGTCTTCTTATGGGGGTCCCCCAAAAAAGGCCACTAACTGGGCCCTCCAAAACCTCGAAACTTTGGAGTTTCGAAGTTCGGTTGGGTCACACATATATCAGTGGTTAAGTTTTTGCAGGTTGCCTGATGAGTTGACCAGGCTGATGATTCCCTCAAAGGCAAACGTGAACGTGCGCCACAAGGTTCGCTCCGCCTGCCAATCACCAAGGAACCCACAAAAGGATACCAAAGGGGTGGGGGGAAACGCCCACATGGTGCCCTTCCTCTAAACTGATGGTTTTGGGGTTCCACATCAACCTAGACCCACTGGAAGGCTGCAGGCCTACAGTCTTTGCCCCAAAGGAGAATCATAGTTTGATTCTGGCAAGCACCACTCTGTCCATACCGCGACGGCGAACCGCATGCGTTGTGGGCCGCCCGGCAGCGGTGGCAACGGGTGGGGCAGCGGCTTCACGCCTGCTCAGGGAAGGGGCCAGGACCGTTTTTTTTTTTTTGTTGTTGTGCTTTACGCATGGGCTGCATGGGACTTTCCCCGGCCCAAACCACAAGCACGCCAGCAGCTTCTTTAAGCAATGACGATTGTTGCCTTGCTGGCCCGCAGGGAAAACAATGCTTGACACCAAACCCATATTCGTAGCTTCCGTTTTGATAGGTTCATTGGAGGCGCACGCAAGCCAAGAACGGCATCGCTCTCGGGGGCTCGACCCTTGCCATATGGGACGCGAAAGCAAACTCAACCAAATGGCGATGTTGGAAGCTATGCAACGTGGCACGCAAAACTTCCCCCCAATACCCAGCTTTCGCAATTTTTCTCTCTAGGTGAACTTGGTTGCTGTTGACCCCTCTGCAAACAGTGTTTACCTTTTTGTGGGTCCAATGGTCCATCATATCCCCAAAAAAAAGACCCCAAAAGTTAAAGTCCAAAGATCCAACCAAATAGCAACAAAGCGAAAAGGATCAATTGAAGAAGGTTCCTTTGGAGCCAGTTCAAGCGGATGGCCGTTCGCAAGCCCATTCTGCATGAATGGCCTTCTGCCCGCAAGGGTGGCAGCCTCAGAGCGCAAAGAATTCGTCTTGCGGGCGATATCCGTGGCGGGATATGCGCAAAATCCCCCTCAAAACTCCCCAGGGCATCTGAAAGTCTAAGGGTATGGCTAGCAACAAAGTCAAGCCGAAGGGCATGGGGAACCCCAGGCGCTTGAGAGTCATACATTTGATGGCATCCAACCAAATTCATTGGACGACCGAAGCCTGTGTGACCTCTGACACTGTCACACACCAAAGGAAGTCTGCCAGGTTGGTTCGAGCCTTGTGTTTGTTCAATACTTTGCGTGCCTTCTCATGGGCCATTCCTGGGTACACCGCAACTGCTTCAAACTCATTCTGCCACATGGCAAGAGAAGATCCCCGGGCACCTTCTCAGATTCTGACTCCTGGTCCCTGGATGTGTCTCTTTTGTCTTGGCCCCCGAAAATTGTTCCGCTTCCCAATTGGTTTGGAGTGGTGTGCCCCACCCCACAAGAACCAGTTCAAATCCAAACCCAAGAACCACCAAGCCGGACCACCAAGCCGGACCAGCACCAGCACCAGCACCAGCACCAGCACCAGCACCAGCACTAGCACCAGCACCACCACCAGCACCACCACCACCACCACCACCACCACCGCCAGCACCACCACCACCACCACCACCACCTCCTACTTGAGGCTTTGACCGATTTGTGGAACCCGCCAAAACCCCAAGGGGGAAAACCCGGTATTAAAATGGTCTCCCAGAACCATGTAAAGAATCAAGAAGGCGGCCGCAACTATTTCTGGCTGGGGCTGCCCCTTGCTAGCCTTCATCTACCCGGGGTTGGATGGCTCAAGGGAGGCCCCTGCGCCCCTGCCAGCTTTGGCCCCGGCAGGCTGGCGAGGCGCTGGCTGGGGAAGCTCCGGTCCTCGGAGCGGTCGGAGCGAGCGGTCGGAGGGAGCGGAGGCGCGGGTCGTTCCCGCGAGGATACGCGGAAAGGACGTGAACATTAGGGGACCCCAAACCCTCCCAAAAAATATGGACTAAACCAAGATAGTTCAACAGGGTACCTTGAACCCCCCCCCCCCAACCCCCAAAAAAAAGAAGAAGAATGCAAGGTGCTGCGATGGGCCGCCATATGGTTTAAAGAAGGTAATTCAACAGTACCCGGAACAAAAAACGTTGGCGCTGTGGCTTGGTGGTTGGGGAGGTGGGGAGGGGAGGTCACTGAACAAGGCATTAAAAAGCCATTGAGGGTGCTGGCGGATTTGGCTTGGTAGTTTGGAGGCTAGGAAATAGGGTTCCCATGTACGCTTAAGGACAATGGGGATCAAATCCTCAAACCACCAATTGGTCGGAAATGGTGAGGACCTACAAATTTTAAGTTCAGCAGAAACAAGCTCAAAAGGGCATCCTCCAGCTGACAAAGGGGGATATCCCCGCATGCAAATACATAATCACCTTTTTCCTTCCCAGTGCCAGTGCCTGCTAGCTGTTGTTACTGCAGCGCTGAAGTACAAATGAACTCGGCAACTCACAAACTTTGAAGAAAACAACACACGGCCAGAAGCATTGCTCGTGCGATTTGAAGCCACATCTACACGTTCGCATTTAGACTCACATCTGTTTGTGTATTGAATATATGTGCAACAATACCAACATCCAAGCAAGCAAAAGTAGAGTAGAGGAGCCCCAAGTAGCCTTAATTACTCATTGGCTCATTGACCACTCTTCCTTTATCTTGTCATACAGTAGATCAGGCCGGCATGTCCCCCGATGAAAATTCCCAAAACGCTTCGCCCCGACGACAAAGGCACCCGTGGCTTCGTCGTTTTCCGTGGCTCGCGCCGCCTCTTCGCCTCTGCTCAGTAGCCCAGCTCAGTAGCCCTGGTTGGCGTCGTAGCCCCCCTGGTCGCCCTGGTAGGTCTGCTCCTCTGGCGGCGGCATGAACGGCACCACTTCCTCCTGGCAGGTGAGCCGAAAGCCCTCGACGTCTTCAGGGCTGCATCTTGCGAAGCCCTGCATCTTGCGCACCCATACTTTTGGGGCCTGCAAAATCAGCTGGAACCCAAAACAGGGGGCTCTCCCAAAAGGACGTTGCAGAGTTGTTCATGTATTTATTTGCTTATTTATTTATTTATTTATTTATTTGGGGGGGGTAATCTGCAGGAGTAACGGCTCGATCATGGAGACACCAGGCTCTGAGCACGGTTTTCTTGGCGCCGCTGCCTTAGGCTCATGGACGATGACGTTGTCCGGGAGCTGCATCTTGGGACCCATCTTGCCCTCGGGGTCGTGCGACATCATGATCTTCACCTGAGACAAGACTGGAGCCACGGCAATTTGCAGCAGGTGTCCGGTGTGCCTTCCCCATGTCCATTTTTGTTTGCCAGATGACTGTGCCGCGCGCCCCATAAATCCCCTCAACCGTAGATTCAGACCCAATGGGCTCATTCAGCTGCCAGGCGCCTTAATGCCGATGGTGCCCTGGCGCATCTGCACGTGCCGGACCGCCTCGGAGATGTAGTGCCGCTTGGGCTCGCCCGTGGAGATGAGGTAGCCCTGCCTCTAAGGCTGGGGGGTGAAAAAACCCTCGCGCCTCCGCGCGGCTGGCAAAGATTCCTCCGTAATGCTTAATGTAAGAGGCTTTTGCCGTGCCAAAAGGGGTGGCGCAAAGGGGTGGCACGAAGCGTGGCAGAAAATTGCAGGCCCGTTTTGACTGGCAAAAAGGGGTGGGTGGCAAGAAATTGCGGCTACCCGCTTTTCGGCGGGCAAAACGAGGTGCAAGAAATGGTGGGGCCCGTTTTGGCCGGCAAAACGGGGTGGCAGAAAATTGCGCTACCCCCCCTTTTGGCTGGCAAAAAGGGGTGGCAGAAAATGGTCAACTGTATCAAGGGGTGGAGAGCTGCGGAAGCAAGTCGCTTGGAAACAAGTTCGCCTCCTCTTGTTTGGTGGTTTGGTGGTTTGGACGAGTGGTTTGGATGCTTGGGGCTGAGATAAGGCCAACTCAATTCCCCAAAGCACCTCACCGAAGGCAGTCTCAATTTTGAACAACCCTGGGCAGTTGCAGCAAGGGCACGAGGACATGGCAATGGCAAACGGGGGGATATGAAGTCGATTAAAGCCCCTTTAACAGGTCAGAGCACCCACCCACCAGCCCCCCCCCCCCCCCCCCCCCGCCAGCCGGAACGTTGCATCCACGCAGAACCCCGCCTGAACTTCATGGCCTTAGCGCGCTGCGCGCGAAGCTTGCCGCTGATGATGACCTCCACTCCTTTGGCGCCGTTCTCCATGATGAACCTCGCAGCTCGGCGTTCTAGTATTTTCGATTTCCGACGACATCCAGTGCCAAAGGACAAGCCAAAACAGGGGATGCACACATCCCTTTTGCCATAAATTTCATGGCCATGGAACCTCGTGCGGCCCTCTCATCGGCCGAGCCGATCACTGGCCTTGCCAACTGGGTAATGAATTAGTTGTGAAAATGACAAGGCATTGCACTTTGAGCTTTGAGCTCTTCTGCCCTTCCGCTTGACAAGTAGAAGGGCCCATCCACGGACTCCTTGCCCCGGGCCGAGCCATAGGCAGCCAAGACTCCGCAGCACCCCATAGCAGGCCCGGCGCACTGCGAGGCCGCCGATCAGCTTGAAGCGCAAGGACTCGCACCTCATTTCTTTCTTGCGACCGGCGACCCGAGGGACGCATGCACCAAATGGGGGGGGGGGTGTCTCTGGTTTTAATATCTGGGACCCCCAAACAACGCTGGGTGTCGTTTTGTTGCGTTTTCGTTTCTAGCCACGGACAACAAGGGGCAGCCTCCAAAAAAGACCGCCCCAAGCTGCCACCGTTTTTTCCGGCTCGATCACTTCTTCGGCGCTTGGAACCTTCAAAGCTCTTCAAAACATGCACAGTGCAACCACGAAGACTCGCCGAACAAATGGGCTGACCCTTGTTCACCTTCTTACCCTTATCTCTTGTTCTTGCCTGCATCCGTCTTGCTTTGCATGCGGGTTCAAGGCTTGCCCAAATAAATGCTTGGAAGGTGACGGTGGCTCCAGGGAAGTGTAAATTCAAAACCGCTGCGCTGCTTCTGGCCAGGCCAAGGCAAAAACTTTGACGGGCCTATGCCAACTGTTATTCTCAGTTGCCCAGAGGGCCCAGAAACGAAACGTCAACCTTTGGGACCTTCGCCAAACATGGACCAAATGGAAATGCCAAACATGGACCAAGTGGAAAAAGCTCCAAAGCTCAGATCCGGATTCGCCGATTCGCCTTGGGCCAGTGAGTCTCCAAACCCAAAACTGGCCCCACAATTTGAGCATGATCAACCCCCCCCCCCCCCATTTGGTAGGGGAAAGAAAAACCACCCCCCTTCTGACTTTGACAACCCCCAGAAACAATACATAGGATAACATGGTCTAGGATCCGGCCTCCGGTGACAGTCAATATAAAGCTCCCATGTCATTCCCAAGGAGTAAAAACAAATCTGGGCGAATTATAATATTTCACCAACCTGAAACTTGCGGTGGTTGGGCGGCTATGCGGCTATTCCAACCACAACCACCATTTGGGTGAATTCGGTCCTGTGAGGTCGTCAAAAAATTCACCCAGACCAAATGGATCCGCGGAAAACCCGCGGAAACTCCTCCGCCGCGGGGTGCACCTCCGCCCCACCTCCGGAACTATTCTCTTTCGATCCGAGGCGCTGGGCCATGGCGCAGCTGGCGCGGTTCCTCACCCAAAACCAGTTGGCGCGGCTCTGCTGTTAGGTTGGACCCCCCAAAAAAAATGAAAAGGAAAAAAGGGGCGCAACGGGTTGTCCTGTGGGTTTGCCTTTATTTGTTTATTTTTAAAAAAAAAGGCGCAAAGGGGTAATTACCCTCAAAAAATGACAGCCACATGAGAAAGCTTTAAGGGGTTGGGTTTCCAAAGGGTTCACTATGTTCATTTGCTGCGGTTCTGGTGGTGCATGGCCGTTCTGTGGTTACTTTGCACGTGCGGGAAAAAATAAAATAAAACGTCCGCCCGCTGGCACATCAAGCCAGGCTCTTTGTCCTCTGGCATCACCATCACCCTACCCCAATACGCAACTTAAACGCAAGTTACTTGCGTTCGGCGCAACCCTCGTATTCTGTCGAATGTCTTGGCCGGACGGTCAAGAACTTCACAGGGCCAAGGCTCGCGTTGGGATGTTCCAGTCGCAAAAGGAAACCAAACCCCGCCATTTTCAAGGGACCTTCCGCTCCTAGTGCCCCTTACAGGTCTCATATCCCTTTCCATGACCTCCCCTGCAAACAATCGGAAGACAAGTCCACCCTCCCGTCAAACATGGAACCTTCCAGGGGAGTCTTTGAAGGCCATTGTCCTTTTAAAGGGACCTCCGAACATCAGGTTCCGTGTGAAAATGGTGGGAGGGCACTTAAATCTACCCTACCCAAATTTGACGCTTCAACGGGTGGTGTGAACTTAGCACAGCGCGAGAGCCAAGAAGCTCCACCCGCTCCGCAAAAAGCTCCACGCTGTTTTCCGGAAAGCCGAAACGCTTCTGCACCTGGCGAGTCCGAGCTGGAGCCAGAAGCAAATCGCTGCCCATGCTAAGGGACCTGAGCCAGCCAGCCAGCAAGCCGGCATGCAAAAGCAACGCTAGAAGGAAGCCCTGTCCTGATTTGCATTTTGCACCTCCCATGCAACCAACTGGGATCGCCAAAAGTCCTCATTGAACCTGGCGAAGTGGGACCGTGCTGCCAGGCCGGACCGCCCCAGTGCACTCAGCCCAGAGACCCTAGGGAAGCGCAAGGACGCCAACCCACGGTGGGTGGCTTTTCGGGCATGGTTTAGGAGTGAGGTCGGTGGGATTTTGGAAACTACCCGCCCACCAGCTAAGATGGAACCCACCAGAAGGCCCCCTTTTACCCTGCGCGAAACCAC